GGAGACCCTAGGGCCGAAGGCCAAAACTTGGAACCAAATGACTCCAGAACAACTGACTTCTGCAGGAATAAATAAAAAGACAATTAACTACTACACAACAGGACACTCCAGGTACCACATAGAGGCCTGTGAGGACCCACCCACCATAGACTGCGACCTTATTGATATCCCTCACGACTGTTTTGAACAAATGAAAATGGAAACTACACACCTACCAACTGTTTATGAAGCTGCATTACTCAACCCGGATCAGACACTATTTGTGGATGGCTCAAGGTTTGCTGACGAACAAGGACAATACCACACTGGATATGCAGTTACCACAGGATGTCAAATATTACAAGCAGCTGCCCTACAACCAACTAAATCTGCCCAAGAGGCCGAGTTAATAGCCTTGACTGTGGCCTGCAAACTGTCCGAAGGCCTACGAGTCAACATTTATACGGACTCAAGATATGCCCTGGGAGTGGCACACGATTTTGGCTTAATCTGGAAGACCAGAGGATTCCTTACAGCTGCCGGTACCCCAGTAAAGCATGGGGCAGCCATTGCAGAACTGATGGACGCATTGGAACTCCCAGCAGAAGTGGCAGTATTGAAAGTAAAAGCTCATGGAAGATTAGACACAGAAGAAGCACGTGGCAATAGCCTGGCTGATCAGGCAGCCAAAGAGGCAGCACGACAATGGGAAGTGGACAGAAGAGTGGCCACAGATGCATTACCAATTTATACTATGCAAACATTGCCTACAGACCTCAGGCTGCTGAAGGAACAGCAAGTTGCTGCCACTCCTCAGGAGAAACAGAGTTGGAAGAACAAAGGAGCAGTACTCCGTGATGAAGTTTACACCATTAATCTCAAGTTCTGTCTACCTAGAAGTATGTATCCAGCGGTGGTCCAATGGGCCCATGGGCCAGCCCACCTATCAAAGCTCCTGATGAATTCACTGATTGACAAGTATTTTGAAGCACCAGGCATCACTACCTTAACACAGAATTATTGCAAATCTTGTACTATATGTGCTAAGTGCAACCCTGGAAAGATCATAAAGACTGCACCTAATCATCTAGCCAAGCCACAATACCCCTTTCAGAGGATTCAGATTGACCATATTCAGATGCCAAAGAGCGGACGCCATGAATATGCACTGGTCATAGTGGACATGTTTTCAGGATGGCCAGAGGCCTTCCCAGTGACTAACCTCACCGCGAGGACAACAGCCAAGTATCTCTTGACAGAAATTGTTTGCCGTTACGGGGTTCCAGAAGTAATTGAGAGTGACCAAGGAACCTCCTTCACTGCCTCGCTAACACGGGAAGTCTGGTCAGCACTGGGGGTGACCCTTGCATTCCACACTCCATATCACCCACAGAGTAAGGTAGAGCGCATGAACGGCACTCTGAAAGCCAGAATGCTTAAAATGTCACAAGAAACTAACATGCCTTGGCCCGAGAGTCTCCCATTAGCATTGTTTAGTGTAAGGTACACTCCTAGGGGAAAATACAGCCTGTCACCTTATGAAATTTTGTTTGGCACAGCACCTAGGTTAGGTTGTTACTTTCCTCAACAACTTCAGATCCAGTCAGATGCTATGGTAGATTATGTGACAGCCCTCTCACATGCCTTGACCAAGATACATGCACAAGTGTTTTCTTCTATTCCAGATCCTGAGTCGAACACAGGTACACACAAGCTGCTTCCAGGTGACTGGGTTATGGTTAAGAAGTTTCTCAGAAAACACACCCTGGAACCGAGATTTGATGGTCCTTACCAAGTGCTCCTGATTACAGCAACGTCAGTTAAACTAGCTGGGAAGAGTTCTTGGATACACGCTTCACATTGCAAAAAAGTGCCTGCTCCAGAAGAGTCTGATCCTGTTGAAAAATGAATTTATTATGTGTCTTGTGTTTTCTTATGCTGCTACATTTTGCATGGGCCCAACAAGTGGCCATAACCAAAGATAACCATGTTTACACTTTTTGGTACAATTCTTCTAATACTGATGTGGCTACATACACCTTTGACTATTGTGACATAGTTACTTGTACATTTCCACAAACACAACATGCAGCTGTATATAAGGACATACCTAACAAAAAGGATCCATACATTTGTGTGACTGGCGAAGGTTGGGGACACCATTGTAGTTCATGGAAAGCTGCCGGGTGGAACACAGGTAGACCATGGGGCTACAGACCCCAAGTTGCATTAGACAAGCTTGACAAAGACGGGAAACCCTTGCTCTCTAGAATGACCCTGAGTAAACCCATAGGGTCAACTCCCATTAAACTCACCTTAAACATAGAACACCCTAGTCCAAGGGATGCAGGGGAGTATGTGATGGGAATGTACTGGAAGGGAGGTGGCTCACATAACGCATTAGGGACCTTTTACTTGCAAGATATGCTAAATTCCTCTGATTGGGTGGGAACCACACATATGGTCATTAACCCATTGAAACCACACATCAAAACCCTACATGACATGGTAGCCATAGCCAACCCCACCTTTGAAGATACCATGGCAGTAGAAACAGGGTTTTCAGATACCAATTTATGGCTAGAATGGATGAGGTACAACGCCAACTCACACAATAAGACTAATTGTTATGTATGCGGAGGTGCCAGACCCCATCTGGGTACAGTACCTCTGAGTTTACCTCCGGAAATAGAATTATGTGTACTGAGTTTATATGCACAATCCACCACTAACTCCTCAACATGTGAATCCTGGAAGAAGATTTACCCAATCACTCACGGACATGTGAAACCACCCGATGGAGTCACCATCTACCCAGGTAATTACACATGCTATTCAATACCAGAAAACACTGGTTTGTATCTGGGCAAATTCCCATCAGGATACTGCTCAACTTACCATAGTCCACCTGTATCACTGCTAATGAATCACACAAAGACAATCGGTGATATCTATTGGTTATGTGGTGACAAACAATTAAGGCCCCAATTAGCTGGCCAATGGTGGGGGGAGTGTGCCCTAACCAAAGTCATAATGCCTATCCACATCATTCCAGATGGTGACCATAACACGCTTAACTTCACACATATACACTCTAGAACCAAACGAGAGACCCCTATTCGAGGGAGTTTCGACCCCCATGTGTATATTGATGCCATAGGTGTGCCAAGGGGGGTGCCTAACGAATTTAAAGCAAGAGATGAAGTGGCTGCAGGGTTTGAGTCCCTAATCCCAATGATAACTGCTAACAAGAATGTCAATTGGATTAACTATATCTATTATAATCAGCAACGCTTTGTCAACTACACAAGGGATGCCCTACAGGGCCTGGCAGAGCAACTACAAGCCACTACCCAAATGACATTTCAGAACAGAATGGCCCTAGATATGATTCTAGCCGAAAAAGGGGGAGTATGTAAAATCCTCCCAGAGACCATGACATGCTGCACATACATTCCAGACAACACGGGGCCCAATGGTAAAGTGACTTTGGCCATAGAAAAGCTAGATAGTCTTGCAGACGAATTAAAGAAGAATTCGGGAGCCACTGACATATGGGACAAATGGTTTGGGTGGATGAATGGCTGGCAAAAGACCCTCTTTCAGGTAGGGACAGCTGTTCTCATGGTATTCATTATCTTTTTGTTCCTAGCCTGTTGTATACTCCCCTGTATACAGAAATATCTGCAGAAAGCGGTAGATAAGACTGTAGATAATGTGACCCCTACCTTCATACATCAGGATATCACAGACCTTGAAGATGACACCCCACATACACCCCTACAAACACATCAGTTTAAACAGACAACTGTTTTTTTGTAGGGATAGAGTAGGGAAAGCGTCTGTCTTGACAGGTGAGTCTCACGTGTGGAGATGTAGTGGGTTAGCCACTGCGGGATACCCGCGGAGTGAAGTGTTCGATGCTTGTCAAGGCAGATAGGTTGCGGGCAACTAGGGACATATTAGGGACAGCAGCAGTTGTAATGGTAAATAGCCATTTTAGGGGGGACTGTTGTGGAAATAAGGTCTACACATATTTCCTGGTTAAAGGAAAATGTCTATTTACTCATTTTACAATATATATATATCACATATAAAGCTAAGTACACATGTTTCAATCAAGATGGCTGCTAGAAGCTTCTAACCCCTCCTTCCCCTCCCTTTTTAAACATCGACTAACTACCTCGTGTAACAAGATGGCGCCGGAAAACCGTGGGAGACCCTCATGGTCCCGGTGACATCACCTGCAGTAGGCAGAGCATTAGAGCAACCACTTAACACCTAACCAATTATTGATGTATTATTCCATGTTATCTCTGACAATGCATATGATGTAATTTTGCTTTAAAAGGGACTTGCCGTCCCCTCTGAATAAACTTTCCTCAAGTTATTCAACAACCTAGAACCTGTGTCTGGTGTGAATTACTTCAGGGAGCGTGCACGCATTGTTTCATTGATTTGGCCAGGGGCAGATACACAAAGAAATAATCAATACTTTAATTGATTTTTCCACTTCAATTAGTATTATTTATTTTAATTTATAACCACATGGCCCTGCCTGTATAAACTAATCATTGATATTCACTGTGACAGGTATTATTAGCATTATTAGTATTATTTATTTTAATTTATAACCACATGGCCCTGCCTGTATAAACTAATCATTGATAGTCACTGTGACAGTCAGGTATTATTAGCATTATTAGTATTATTTATTTTAATTTATAACCACTGGTCTCTGCTTGGACACAGCATGGATGGGGGCTGAGCCCACGACCAGTTTTTATTTTGTTTAAACACACTATGAAGAGCAGGACATTGAGCTGTTGTCACCTTGTGACTGTTAATAAAGTTATTGACGGAGCCTCGCGGGCCAAGGTCAGTACCACGTGGTAAAGGTAACCTTGACTACCGGGGGGAAGCTGCCGCCCCGCTTCCTCTCGCGAGATCTCGGCTGTTCTAGGCTGCGGCTGCTCGGTGATCTCGCGAGATCAGATCTCCTCCTCCTGCACTAGGTCAAGATGTCGGAATCGGAACTGGGAAGGAAGTGGGACCGGTGCCTGGCCGACTCCGCGCTGAAATTCGGTAAGTAGACATGAGGAGTAAATACGGTACCTACCGCTACTGAACTTACGGGAGGGAGAGAGAGAGAGAGAGAGAGAGTGAGTGTGTGACAGGGAGAGTGTGAGTGTGTGACACAGGGAGAGAGTGTGAGTGTGACACAGGGAGAGAGTGACAGGGAGAGAGTGACAGGGAGAGAGTGACAGGGAGAGAGTGACAGGGAGAGAGTGACAGGGAGAGAGTGACAGGGAGAGAGTGACAGGGAGAGAGTGACAGGGAGAGAGTGTGACACAGGGAGAGAGTGTGACACAGGGAGAGAGTGTGACACAGGGAGAGAGTGTGAGAGTGACAGGGAGAGAGTGACAGACAGGGAGAGAGTGCGACACAGGGAGAGAGTGCGACACAGGGAGAGAGTGACAGGGAGAGAGTGACAGGGAGAGAGTGACAGGGAGAGAGTGACAGGGAGAGAGTGTGAGGGAGAGAGTGACAGGGAGAGAGTGTGAGGGAGAGAGTGTGAGGGAGAGAGTGTGAGGGAGAGAGTGTGAGTGCGTGAGAGGGAGAGAGTGTGAGACAGGGAGAGAGTGTGAGACAGGGAGAGTGTGAGACAGGGAGAGTGTGAGACAGGGAGAGTGTGAGACAGGGAGAGTGTGTGAGTGTGTGACACAGGGAGAGTGTGTGAGTGTGTGACACAGGGAGAGTGCGTGTGCGTGACACAGGGAGAGTGCGTGTGCGTGACACAGGGAGAGTGCGTGTGCGTGTGACTGGGAGAGTGCGTGTGTGTGTGTGTGTGACTGGGAGTGTGAGGGGGAGGGTGGGTGTGCCAGGTAGGGGGACAGGGAGTGTGCCAGGGAGGGTGAGTGTGCCGGGGGTGGGAGGGGGCTGAGTGTGACTGGGGGGAGTGTGACGGAGTATGTGTGACAGGGAGTGTGTGACGGAGGGGGAGGGAGTGTGACAGGTTAATCAAGTGAGCTTTTTCTGCCTAAAAATACAATTTTCCCAACCTTTTGAATACTGTTTGCAGTGATCAAAGTATAATTCACAGTTCTGTTTGTTTTTTTTAGTTGGGGTGGTTGGTAATTAGTAGGAAATCAGGGAATTTAGTGTTGTTAGGGGGTAAAAAATTTTTTTTTTATTTTTTTTTTTATTTTTAGAAAAGTTAACGTTATTTAGATAAAGTTGATTTTGTACACTATGCTTAGAAAGTTTACTGCAGAAAAAGCTTATAGATTTTTAAGGTACGACTTCGAGGCGACACACTCCCTCTTTAAGTGACTTCAACTATTGGCCAGACTTTAGGACCCTCGGTAGAAAGAGCTGATTGCACAGGCACTGCATGAGGACCAAATAACTGGGTATCCACTAAGGAATTTACCCCTGATATTCCTGTCTTCCCAGCAACTCCTAGGAATCAGGCTGACCTGAATAGATAGCAGCTGAAGTTTTCGCAGCTGTTCCTGGGGGATGGTATTTTAGGGAACATTGTCAGCCAGGCTAATATTTTTGCCAAGCAGTATGTGGCTCTAAACGGAGTCTTATCGTCAGAACACTGTGCTAGTATGCAGAATTAAACAAGCCAAACAGCGTTAGGGTGTACAATTCAAAATTCCAATTTGTAGTGCCCACTTTTTTCTCCCCCATACAGTGAATAGGCCCACACATGAAGTGATACTGTGGTATCTGCAGTATGATCACCTGTTTCAAATGTGCCACCTAATTTCCCATTTTAACGAAAAACTTCTATAACAGCATGCACTCTGGAAGTTGTGGCTGTTTGCATACAGCATTCAAATAAGTACATGGGGGAGTTGACCTGTCTGATCAACCGCTGCAGCAGTCTTTAATCATGTGTCAGACCACAGCATTGTCTAAAAAAGTAATGCACGTGGCAACCCACAATGCATTTTATCCTCTACAAAAAGGCAAATGCTGTAGTTATATGTACATTTTAGACACTTAATTTCAGGACTACTTATTAAGTGCCACAGAGGGGTACCATCGGTGGATCCTGACAGTGGAAGAATTTAGACAGGTCACTTCTCCTTTAGAATCCTCCTGCTACCCCCCCCTCACTTCTCCCCCCAGGGTATGTTACCAGAGGGGCATAAGAACTGAAACCCGTCTCAGCTTGGCATTTGCATTGGAAATTGCTTCAAAGTATATCACATGCAGGGCAAGTAAGTTCAAAATGCTTAGGAAGTTCAGTGCCAAAGAGGCTTACAGAATTCTGACAGCAGACTCAGAGATGGGACAGTGCCTCGGAGTTTGACGCAATTAAATGCACCATTACACAAACATGCAAATGAAAAATGGCCCTACGCTAAGGATCAAAATATGCCGTTTGAGATACCATGGTGGGGCTTCTTTAAAGGGTTACTCCAACCACTATGGCCAGTTCTGCTTTGAGAAGTAGACAAAATTAAAGCATAGCTGATTTGTAGGAGTCTGTATGTGCAGCGTTTTTGTTCCGGGCTGCCTAATGTCAATTCTGTGCATAATTTAAATCTGTCGTCATCGCTTGCTGGCAACAAATGTATTGTGCTTCTTCCTTGCAGGCAGAGCCTGTGAACTAAAGCGTTTGTCTCTTCACCTCCTTCTCTCTGTCCACTGGCAGCATAGACAAGCAGACCGCTTTCCCTTCAAATCTAGAAGTGGGCAGCGCATAAGTTTGCAACTTGCAAGAGAAGCAAATTAAATTGTGTCCTTAAGGAGATGTTCTTAACTGTTTTTAGGGTTAGACAACCGTTGGCACTCCAGATGCTGTGGAATACATCTCCCATAATGCTGGCAAAGAATCAGGTGAAAGGTAGCCCACAGCATACGCAGTGCCGAAAGTCATCTACAACTGGTTCACATAAAACCCATAGGCAGTGCTCTGAGACTCCAGGTAATATACCAAAATCATCATCCTGTAAGAAGACACCGGGCTATGGTGGCATGCTGCCTAGAATGTCCTTTAATTCTCCATTAGTTTGTTCACATTATTCGCAGGGCTAGTTACTAAAGTAAAAACTTACAGTGTATTTAAAACTTAATATCAAAATAGCCAATCTCGAAGAATTCAGCTATGCTTTCATTTTGCCTGCTTTAGCTTTAAATGTGGACTCCACTTTGAATGTTTAATTTACTGAATAACCAAGTTAATAATTTTGGAGACCAGATTATTTTTTTAGTAAATAAGTGTTGTTTTAAAGCTTTCCTGATCCATTTGAAATTTCATGTTTTCCACTTGATGCTGTTGTGCAAAATAAATGATCAGAAACTGGGTGAGAGCCCATTGCCATTCTGAATGGGAGAAGAGCACTAGATGCAACTTTGGGGTTTAACCGTTCGTAAACAGTTTAACTCCTGAAGGTACTCATTTACAGATTTATTTAACCAATCATTGTTAACAGGAGTAGTCCCAGAAGATTTGAAGTTAGCTAATGTTGTGCCCATTTACAAGAAAGGTAATAGGGAGGAGTCGGGCAACTATAGAACAGTAAGCCTTGCTTCAGTAGTGGGGAAAGTAATGGAAACCATGTTAAAGGATAGGATTGTTGAACATCTAAAATCACATGGATTTGAAGATCAGAGACAACATGTATTTACTTGCTAAACTAATCTTATTGCTTTTTTTTCTTTATTAGGTACCAGTAACTAAAATAATAGATCAGGGTGGTGCAGTAGACATTGCTTACCTAGATTTCAGTAAAGCTTTTGACACTGTTGCACATAGAAGGCTTATCAATAAACTGCAATCTTTAAGTTTGGATTCCAATATTGTTGAATGGGTAAGGCAGTGGCTGAGTGACAGGCAACAGAGGGTTTTAGTCAATAGAGTATATTCAAAGCATGGTCTTGTCGCCAGTGGGGTACCTCAGGTATCTGTATTTGAACCCATTCTCTTTAATAATGTTATTAGTGATATTGCAGAAGGTCTTGATGGTAAGGTATGTCTTTTTGCTGATGATACTAAAATTTGCAACAGGGTTGATGTTCCAGGAGGGATAAGCCAAATGGCAAATGATTTAGGTAAATTAGAAAAATGGTCAGAATTGTGGCAACTGACATTTAATGTGGATAAGTGCAGGATAATGCATCTTGGACGTAAAAACCCAAGAGCAGAATATACAATATTTGATACCCTACTAACCTTAATATCTGAGGAAAAGGATCGAGGAGAAGGATTATTTCAGATGACTTAAAGGTAGGCAGACAATGTAATAGAGCAGCAGGAAATGCTAGCAGAATGCTTGGTTGTATAGGGAGAGATATTAGCAGTAGAAAGAGGGAAGTGCTCATGCCATTGTACAGAACACTGGTGAGACCTCACTTGGAGTATTGTACACAGTACTGGAGACCGTATCTTCAGAAGGATATTGATACCTTAGAGAGGGTTCAGAGAAGGGCTACTAAACTGGTTCATGGATTGCAGGAAAAGCTAAATGATCTTAACATGTATAGCTTGGAGGAAAGACGAGACAGGGGGGATATGATAGAAACATTTAAATATATAAAGGGAATCAACACAGTAAAGGAGGAGACTATATTTAAAAGAAGAAAAACTACCACAGCAAGAGGACATAGTCTTAAATTAGAGGGGCAAAGGTTTTAAAATAATTTCAGGAAGTATTATTTTACAGAGAGAGTAGTGGATGCATGGAATAGCCTTCCAGCTGAAGTGGTAGAGGTTAACACAGTAAAGGAGTCTAAGCATGCGTGGGATGGGCATAAGGTTATCCTAGCTATAAGATAAGGCCAGGGACTAATGAAAGTATTTAGAAAATTGGGCAGACTAGATGGGCCGAATGGTTCTTATCTGCTGTCACATTCTATGTTAAGGTAAGATTTCTCCAGAGGGACTCAGAGCACCACAAGGCATCATCATAACTTCATTTAGATTAAGTTTTTATGATGCCTATGCTTTCCCTTTTAATGCCCAGTGATGGCACAGACTGTTGTGTAGTAAAAGTACTACTAGAGGTTAAATACCTGCTTTGTACCATGGAACCCCAGGTATCTTTCAATTCCTGGGGGTCTCTGCTATCAACTGGGGCCAGAATTAGTGGCCCCAAGCTGACTTATGCTCTATTGGGAGATTTCAGGAATTTAAAAAAGGATTTAGATCCATATTGTTACAGCGTGTTTGAATTCATGCTCATACCAGGAAACTCAGATATTAACCCCTTAAGGACTGAGCCAAATGTACACGTTGTGAACAAAACAAAATGTAAACAAAACCTGGCATTTGCGCTACATGTCTGTCAAACCGTAATTCACCTCTTTCATATTAAATGCACCCATCCTTATTATATATCATTTTATTCAGGGGAAACAGGGCTTTCATTTAATATCAAATATTTAGCTATGAAACATAATTTAATATGAAAACAATGGGAGAAAATACGATTTTTTTTTTTTTAGTTCTGCATGACATTTTAACTGTCAATGTCTTAATACTGTTTGCTTTTACTGCAATAAAATACACATATTTGTATTCAGCAAAGTCTCACGTTTAAAACAGTACCCCCTATGTACAGGTTTTATGGCGTTTTGGGAAGTTACAGGGTCAAATATAGCAAGTTACATTTGAAATTGAAATTCGCTAGATTGGTTACGTTGCCTTTGGGACTGTATAGTAGCCCAGGAATGAAATTTACACCCATAGTGGCATACCATTTGCAATAGTAGATAACCCAAGGTATTGCAAATGGGGTATGTCCAGTCCTTTTTAGTAGCCATTTGGTCACAAACACTGGCCAAAGTTGGCGTTAGTATTTGTTTGTGTGTGAAAAATGCAAAAAAACGCCAATTTTGGCCAGTGTTTGTGACTAAGTGGCTACTAAAAAAGACTGAACATACCCCGTTTGCTCCAGGATATACTGTGACGATAATATTTTTCAATTCACGCTTTAGAAAATAAACAGAATTGTACCCTATCATTGGTTGTATATTGGAACAGGGAATATCCCTGCATATGTACATGTATATGTATGTTATACTTCAAAAATGCTACCTTCACTGTTTGTCTGATGTGGGCCTGCGAGCCCTGAAATTTATCGTACCTGATTGCTAATAAAAACTTGATTAACAAAAAAAAAAAAATATACCCCATTTGCAATACCTTGGGTTGTCTACTATTGCAAATGGTATGCCATCATAGGGGTAATTTTCGTTCTTGGGCTACCAAAGGGTCTCAAAGGCAACATAACCAATCTGGCGAATTTTAATGTGAAAAAAATGAAACACAAGCCTTATATTTGACGCTGTAACTTTTGAAAACACCATAAAACCTGTACATGAGGGGTACTGTTGTACTCGGGAGACTTCGCTGAACACAAATATTTGTGTTTCAAAACAGTAAAAGGTATCACAGCAATAAAATCGTCCGTGTAAGTGCTGTTTGTGCGTGAAAAATGCCCAAAAAGTCACTTTTACTGGCGATATCATCGTTGTAATACATTTTACTGTTTTGAAACACTAATATTTGTGTTCAGCGAAGTCTCCCGAGTAGAACAGTACCCCCCATGTACAGGTTTTATGGTGTCTTGAAAAGTTATAGGGTTAAATATAGTGCTAGCAAATTAAATTCCCTTTACTTTCGGCATGGGTTGTCAGGCAGGTCCTGCTAATTGTAATTAGCGATTGCCGGCGTGGGATCGCCGGCGACCGGGTAAGTAAAAAAAACAAAAAAAAAACGGAGGGCGTACTATTACGCACGGTGGCGTTTAGAGCCGCCTAAAATAGGGCGTAATAGTACGCCCTCCGGTCTGAAGGGGTTAAGATACCTGAGGCTCCCCTTTGTCAGCTGCGGCCATGTTTAGTGTCCGGTAAGCTGCAAGAAGAGTGAGATTGACATACAGCTCATTAAATGGGGATTTAAATCCCCATAGATGGCAGTGTAGTGTGAGCAGGGTTAAATAGTGTCCCCAGACTGACAGGTGAGCTGCATGCAATGCTGAAAGTCAGCACTGCCTATAGCATTTTAAATCCACAGAGAACACTGTAGCTGAGCCCTCAAGCTAAGACACAGTAATTATCTCACTGGATATAGTTATTGGGAGACTCTTCAGACCCAGGGTAGACTGTAAGCTCGTTTGAGCAGGACCCTCTTCAACCCTTTGTTTCTGTGAGTTTTCTTGTAATTGTCCTATTTATAGTCAAATCCCCCCTCTAATAATATTGTAAAGTGCTACGGAATCTGTTGGCGCTATATAAATCGCATTATGCTCCAATGGCATTTTGATCAGTGCTGGGCTTTCAGTCGCCCAGCACTGATTACAATGCGTTGGGCATACTATATTCAACGTTAAAGATATAAAGCTGTCATACTGAAAATAGCCAGTAGGTGACAGCAATATACCACTCTCCTTGGGTTTAAAATTCTCTTGGCTAATATCCGTATTTAGGATTGATTTAGGGATTAAATTTATGGCTTAATATTGGATTTAGAATAAATATTATGTTTATTATTAGATTTATATTTAAAATTGGTTTGTAATTGAATTTTAGGATTGGAATTATGTTTCAGATTAGGGCCAGGAAGGGAATTAATCTGCTGACATCAGCAGAGGGAATCCTTCTAACCCTATTTATAGGGTTAGGATTATTCGATTTAGAGTTAGATTGGGGATTAGGATTTGGTTTAGGATTAAGGGTTACATTTGTTACTTTGCAAAGGTATACATATTGTTTATTACAATGGGACACGTGAGGAAAAACAACATAAAAACACAATAATGTATATGTAAATACTGAAAAAAATGAGTACCACAAAATGTCACATCAATAAACCTCAAAATATATTCATTTTGGCAAATGGTAAGCATTTATGGAGTAATTTAAATACATGAGCTACTAAAATGCATCATAGACCCATCTTCAATTTGTCATTTAAAAAAACAAAAACAAAAAAAAACAATGGGCAGGTTATAAATTTAGAATTTTTACCACAAACTCGACAAGAGTATTTGAAGGGTGTAATTCTGTACTCATGAGATATAGCTGACCATAATTTAATGATTTTTAATACATTAGAACAGATCAAGTTTATAAAATAAACTGCAAAATGGCAACGTGAATGTGAAAAAAACAAAATTAAAATGCTATAAACTAAAAGAAATTGGTGCTAAAATGGCTGTATAATAAGGCTCAAAATATACCATGACATCCCGTGGTGTCTGCTTGACCTGTGAAACTGCTACAATGTCCCAAAATGTGGAATGGGCCCATCAAATTCACCAATAAAAATTCATATTGTAAAACTGAAATAGTCAAGTCTATTATATGCCAAAGGCATACATACATACATGTTTAGTGTCCGGTAAGCCGCAAGAAGAGTGAGATTGGCATACAGCTCTTTAAATGGGGATTTAAATCCCCATAGATGGCAGTGTAGTGTGAGCAGGGTTAAATAGTGTCCTCAGACTGACAGGTGAGCTGCATGCAAGTATCCAAAAACCCTTAGGTATAAATTGTCTGCATGTCTTCTTTTATATAAATAGATACTTTTCTATGGCAATTTTGTTTTATGTTATGGCTATTAACCTCTTAAAAATGGAGGCACTTGTTCAAGTTTTGAACCAAAACCTGGAATTTGCGCAATAAGTCTGTTCAACCATAATTTACCTCTTTCATATTACGTGCACTCACACTTATTATATATTATTTTGCTCAGGAGTTGGGCTTTCATTTGGTGACAAATATTTATATATAAAACATAACTTAATATGAATAAAATCTAAAGTGTGAGACATTAAGAAATTTAGTAGTATTCTAAAATCTGCATGGCATTTTAACTGTGGAAGTCATAACACTGTTAGCTTTTACTGCAACTATCATTCACATATTTGTTCACAAGTACAAGTAGTGTATGTTTGTTTTTGACTTTTTATTTTAATAATTATTTGCTTTTATTAATTAAATGTTGGAGAATCTGCTTGAAAAGCTAAGCAATCACTCTGTCAATCGTGCTGATCAGAGTCATGTGATCAGTGTCATCGTGATCACATGACTGATCTTGTGATCAGTTGTCAGGCAGTCCCCCGATTGGATCTAGGGAGGAAGGCAAGTATACATGCTGACGGGAGGGCCCAATTGTTAGGGCATGCTCTGTCGCCCTAATGGCGCTAAAGCCTTCCTTATACTAGTATGTGCTTTGTAAATCAGATCAAATAGTGAAGCTGAAGAAAAGTAATTCAAAATAAATTAATCTAATTATGTACACATTATTACTGCCAAAGGGTAGTTTTTATTTTTATTTTAGTGCATTTTAAAAATAAATAAATTAGAATGTATAGATGTATATGTACACAACAAATTAAAGCCCTATTTGTCCTGTAAAAAATGTTATGTAATATGAGTTGGTGCAGTATATTAGAAGGATAGAAATTGTGGTTGAACACACGCTGATTTGGTTCTTACGTGAAAATCAAATTAAAGGAACACTATAGGGTCAGGAACACAAACATGTATTCCTGATCCTATAGTGTTAAAATCGCCATCAAGCCCCCTCTTGCCTCCCTAAATATAGTAAAATCTTACTTGTATTCAGTACTGCCTCTGCCCCTGACCTGCCTGCTTGCCTGACACATCAGTAGTGATTCTCTGAACTAATAAAAATTCTTTCGAATAGGATTGGCTGAGACAGTCAAGGAGGCATATCAGGGGCAGAGCTAGCACAAGCCAAACACAGCCCTGGCCAATCAGCATCTCCTAATTGGGATGAATTAAATCAATGCATCTCTATAAGGTTGGGCTTGACAAATTTGTTTGGAATCTGGGAGCCAACTAACAAAGTTAGGAGCCAGCCATTTTCAACAGGGAAAATGTAATTCCTAAAGGGATACTATAGTCACCAGAACCACTACAGCTTGATGTACTTGTCCTGGTGTCTATAGCCTGTCCCTATAGGCTTTTTAGTGAAAAGGCAGTGTTTAAATTGCTGTTTAGTAACGCCTTTAGTGACCGTCACTGAGACTGCAACTAGTCCTGGGTCACTGCTGCACCACTTGCAGCACCCACATTCAGGGTATCTAAGCTCTGCATTGAGGTGCTGAATGTTCCTTGTAGAAATTCATTAATTTATTGCATCTCTATGAGGAAATGCGGATTGGCACATTTGCTGCGCATGCACAAAATCCAGAGGAAAAGCATTGGCTTAGCTGAGATCATAGAGATTGATAATCTCAGCCATGGAGGTGGGACCAGCCGCGGCAAACTGACATGAGAAAAAAATGTGAGTAAAAACACCTTCCCCATGCGATCAGAATGGGCAGGTGCCCAGACGCACACACTGACACGCTCCCACTCTGGCCGGCACACACACACACTCACTCTGAGAGGCTCAGGCACAAACACTCATGCACACACACACATTCTGACAGACTCACAAACACTCACATGCACACTCATTCTGACAGGCTCACACGCACACTCTGACAGGCTCAAACACATGCACATGCAGACTCATTCTGACAGGCTCACACAGACCCACATGCACACTCACTCTGACAGGCTCACAAACAATCACTTTTTGTTTTAATTAAAATATACTCCGCCTCCCTACCTTTGGTAGAGCTGAGTGGATTTGTCCCTGGGGTCCAGTGGAGCTCCCTCTCTCTTCCTGCGTGCGAGGGAGCAGTAATCCATCTTCATCTCCTCTCTGCTACCTTGCGCTCTGTAGTGATGCCGAGGGCTGGAGTGTCGTCATATTCCGGCTTCTGGCATCATTAGACGGCACGAGGGAGTAGAGAGGAGCTGCAGGCAGAGTACTGCTTCCTCACACGCCGCCTACAATGCCCCTGTGGGTGGCCGAATCCATGCTGCCTTAGCCGGCCACCTCCATCCTCCTGACAGTGGCTGGCTCCATGTTGCCTCAGCAGGCTTCCTCCATCCTCCTCAGGGCAGCTGGCTCCAATATTCCCCCAAAGCTGGCAAATTTGTCGAGCCCTGCTATAAGGAAAGTTTTAGTGTCTCCATGCAAAGGGTGAAGACACTGAATGTCAGTCACACTGTGCAACACTACCCCAGGGAGCACCTCTAGTAGCCATCTGAGGAGTGGCCAGTGGAGGTATCCCTGGACTGTAATGTAAGCACTGCATTTTCTCTGAAAAGACAGTGTTAACTGCAAAAACCCCGAAAAGACTAATTCTACTTACCAGAACAAATGCAATACGCTGTAGTTGTTCTGGGGATTATAGTGTCCCTTTAAGCTTGGTCCTGGAGGGGTTAAAAAATTGTCATCGTAACAGAGCTGTATAAATGCTAATATTTCACCTAAACATCTCGATCTCTGAATGCAGCACAATACCAGTAGACGTTTGTGTAAAGATCTCTTCATTTGAACAGAACGAGACACAAATCAGAACAGGTTTATTTTAAAAAAATTTTTAATTCTTTATTTTTCACGTGCATGAGAGTAACAGGCATTCACACTGTGCCAAAACAGCAAAAGCAAGACAAGTATTAACAATAGGCTTAACAGTGGAGGCATATAGGCAGAACTACGCACATTTTTTTTTTTTTTTGGAAATCAAGAGTGATGCACGTTTAAACTTAGAACAAAAACATTATTAAAGGAAAGACAGGTTGAGTAACAAGCTACACATCTTGCATGTCTAGGTCTAGCTGGTTGTGCAGGGTCGTGAGTAGTTTACACTGTTTGACAGATATACAAGGCAATGCTGTCGTTATAAACCTGCTAGTCTTTCAAGATAATGAGAGTAATATAGGTAACTACAGGTTACATAATGCAAGCTGGCATGTCTAGGATGAGAAAAGATGCTGTGCTCATAGAAGAGAAAGTTTGACTAGGCTTAATGATTGATAAAATGCAAGCTTATACTACATGAGTACCATGTTAAAAAAGCAGTCTAATAAAGCCTATCTAGACATGTATTGGGGCACAGCCTCTCCATTACTGAAAACTACTCAGACATTGAGCTTTAGTACCACTGGGCATTCATGACATACAAGAAAATGCAGCTCACAAACAATGGCAATTGAAAATCGATGGCTGTACAGTCAGCCTATACCCATTGCTGGCAGGCTCAGCAGGTGGAGTGTTCTGGTGGCAACAGAGCTCCAGGAGTGATGTTGTGCATCTCTCCAGCCCCAGGCCGGCATCAGCGTGCCACTCCAGGAGTGATGTGGTGTATCTCTCCAGGCCGGCATCAGCGTGCCACTCCAGGAGTGATGTGGTGTATCTCTCCAGCCCCAGGCCAGCATCAGCGTGCCACTCCAAGAGTGATGTGGTGCATCTCTCCAGCCCCAGGCCGGAAGGCAGGCCGGCATCAGCATGCCACTCCAGGAGTGATGTGGTGTATCTCTCCAGCCCCAGGCCGGCATCAGCGTGCCACTCCAGGAGTGATGTGGTGCATCTCTCCAGCCCCAGGCCGGAAGGCAGGCCGACATCAGCGTGCTACTCCAGGAGTGATGTGGTGCATCTCTCCAGTCCCAGGCCGGCATCAGCGTGCCACGGACTCGGAGGTTCAAAGAATCCCAGTCCATCTCCACTTGGGAGAGACAGAGGGCCTGGATGCTGTGCCGCCTAGAAGAGCAGTGGATCCTCTGTCCATGCGGTTGATGCTGTGGGGTAAGACCCCTGGTGGGCCTCGGCACGGGTGGGCTAGCAGTGGTAGGTAGGTGAGGGCGATGAGATTGATTCCCGGAGGTAGCTCACTCACCTCCTGGTCTACATCCCCCTGAGACTGAGGTTCTGCAGCCGACTGGCGCGCTTCTAGGGATTTCCAGAAGCGATCAAAGAGATGGGGTTTTTTCACAGCGTGATGTATAGGCCCATATTCCACGGTAGAGATTTCAGCTGCCGTCTTGTCGGAAGATCCTGTGATTTATATCATCGCTGGTACTACCACAGTGTAGAAAACTGTATGCCAGTGGGGATAAGGATAACCATAACCCTCACCCTTCCCCCTCTCCAGTCCAGAGGGGATTGCCTTGCAGGTGTTTGGAGGCACGGTGATCGGCAAGACGAGAGATCGGACGCCGAGCAACGCCACCAGGCCTCACCAAGATTGTCGTCCACACTGCCAGACGATGCTTGGTTGAAAGGATTAATGCAGAATCAAGCCTGGAGCTCTGACAAAACATGACCAGCCGCCATGAGGGTTTAACCCCGCCCTGAGCGAGCTTATTTTTATGCTGATTTTTTTTATTTTCATTTATGGATTTATTTTTAATGCCTTACGGCTAGGAGTTAGAAGTGATTGACTGAGCATGTCCTTTATGTGCCCAAGACCTTCACTCACACACTCTTGCGTGTATTGCCTCAGAAAAGGAGTGCTTAAATGGGCCACTGGCATTTACTTTTTGATCTATGCCTTCCTATGTTTGGCGTGTCATCTGCACATTACGTGTCCATAATCATCCACGAATGCTGTTAGGTAGAGAGTTGGACTCTGCAAGAAGATCAAAGCTTCCCAGATGGTGCTGTTTGTGCTCAGAACTATCATCTGTTTCCATTTTTGCTTTAACTGTTTAAGATTTTTGGCATTTCTTAATACACATTAAAAATTCATCATTCCATGTCTTGAATTAAAACGAGTCTAAAGAAATCATGATGAATGTGAAATTAATCAGTTTTACCCTATAAAACTTTCTATGTCACAGAGGAGTTAAAAGGATTGCATTTGTTGGTTTTTGGAGCTGAGAGGGTTAATGTTGTGTACGCAAGTTGTAGGTAGGATGTTCTAAGTTGCGAAATGGCTGGGATGTTGTGTTGCAGGGGTAATTGTTTGTATTTATTGAGTTATTTTAGTTCTAAGCCTTATGGGTTTATAGGAACATTATACGCACCCAGACCACGTCAACTCAGTGATGTATCGCAATGTATTGCCATGTTTTAACCCTGCAGCTGAAAACCTTGCCTTTCTACAGTGACTAAAATGGGGTAACTGATACTTGAAATATGCTTATATAGCTTAAAGGACCACTATAGTGCCAGGAAAACATACTCATTTTCCTGGCACTAGAGTGCCCTGAGGGTGCCCCCACCCTCAGGGTCCCACTCCTGCCGGGCTGGATGGCAAGGAAAGGGGTTAAACTAACCTTTTTTCCAGCGCCGGGCGGGGAGCTCTCCACCTCCGATCCTCCTCTTCGGCTGAATGCGCATGCGCGGCAGGAGCTGCGCGCGCATTCAGCCAGTCTCAAAGGAAAGCATTCATAATGCTTATTAATGTTTATTTTAAAAAAAAGGGTTAATCCTAGAGGGACCTGGCAACAGACCACTTCATTAAGCTGAAGTGGTCTGGGTGCCTAGAGTGGTCATTTAAAGAACAGCTCTCTTCTGTTTGTGCGTGTATTTATATATATCTTCAAAACTTTCTTACATTGTGGATCTCTAAATATCCTAATTAAAGGACCACTATAGTGCCAGGAAAACATACTCGTTTTCCTGGCTCTATAGAGCCCTGAGGGTGCCCACACCCTCAGGGACCCCCTCCCGCCCGGCTCTGGAAAGGGGAAAGGGGTTAAAACTTACCTTTTTCCAGCGCTGGGCGGGGAGCTCTCTGCCTCCTCTCCTCCTCCGTTCCTCCTCCTGGGCTGAATGCGCACGCGCGGCAAGAGCTGCGCGCGCATTCAGCCCGTCGCATAGGAAAGCATTTACAATGCTTTCCTATGGACGCTTGCGTGCTCTCACTGTGAAAATCACAGTGAGAAGCACGCAAGCGCCTCTAGTGGCTGTCAATGAGACGGCCACTAGAGGATTTGTGGGAAGGCTTAACCCATTCATAAACATAGCAGTTTCTCTGAAACTGCTATGTTTATAAAAAAAAAAAAATGGGTTAACCCTAGAAGGACCTGGCACCCAAACCACTTCATTAAGCTGAAGTGGTCTGGGTGCCTAGAGTGGTCCTTTAAGGCAGCCATATTTTGTTTAGCCACGCCCCCTGCCCTCGGCTCATTTTGAGAATGACAAGCTATCAGATGGTAGTGTAGAACACTCCCTCCACAAACAAGGTGCTTAACCAGACCTCAGTCAATAGAACAAACAGGAATGTGTGTAAATAGGCAGATTTATCGAACACAGTAACATTTCAACCTCAGCCTATTTGCACACCTTGTTTGTTCCAAGCTGTCCGATAGTGTCACTGGTGTCAAAATGCCATAAAGTGGAAAACGTTCATTCAAATGTAATATAAGGTTAAAGTTCCTTTAGATATAAAAAAAAACACACACAAAACTATATATAATTTTGTATTTTTATTTTTTTATTATTGATTTAATGCCAGAAGACAATTAACGTCTGAAGAAAATGTGTTCTCATTCTTCAGTTATTTTGTGTTTAAAAGTCCAAATATAACCTCTGAGCCACGAGTGCCAAACAGCTGCACATTGTTGACAAAAGAAAAATAATTGCTGCTTCATTGTAACACAGACTTACTAACAAATGTCTGTAACTTCATGGGCTGCAGGTTTCTGTCAAAGCTCTGTATCCTGAAATAAACAGGAAAGCTTTTAAAGGGACTCATTTAGTCTGTTCTGGTGCAGGAAGCTCCCTTGCCCATATTCTCCTTTCATTATGTTGCTGATAACTGCAACTTTTTACACAACGCTACAGTTACACCCTCACCTGTTCCATCAGGGTCTTAACTAACTTCTAATACTCCTGTCAGGGCTTTCTATGAGAGAAACTGTATGTCGCCCGCACCTATTCATTGCCATGAGTAGTTACCATAACTGTAACAAACCTCATGCAGTTGCAATGCAAATTGTATTGGCTTCCATGTTCATTTTGTGTCTTTTCTTGATGTAAACTACTGAACTACATATTCCATTCAGGTAATAAAATAATCCATGTATGCATCTGTTTATTAATGCACTTTCTTTGTAATAAATTGAGTCCTACTACTGCAGCCTGGAGTACAAGAAAATAGAATGTAAAAAAACATTACCTTAGGTTAAATAAAACAAAGTTATTTACATTTATTTTTTCTTTTAACTTCTGTGCAGCTAATATACTTTAATTGCATTATATTCGTAATGGTCTTGTAGCAGCCATATTGTTCCCTCTATCATTTACTGACGTGCCAAGCTGTGGGCCTGCAGCTCAGACTCCCTCTCTCAGAGCTGGAGAGGTATAGAACAGTGTATGCAGTCTAGAAAAATATAAAAACACGTTGGTAGGAAAAATGTAGTCACTTCAGGTGATTGCACTCTAGGAAAATAAAAGGAAAGGCACATTCCTGACACACTTTCAATTAGCAAATCTGTCCATTTTTGAATGGCTATCCGAAGTCCGTATCCCATTTAATGGAAGAATAGATGCCAAAACACGTTTTCTCTCATCTTTTCATTTGACATTGGAAGTGACAATGAAATTGGAAGCTACCTTTTAAGGATATTCCCGTAGCCCATTGGGGAAAAAAAAGTGTACCTTTAAAGTACACCCGCCATTGATGTCGGTGTACTGAACATGCCTACGGGCGCCCAATTAATAAACGTTCCCACTTGCATAGAAATGAATGGGAAACCAAGGGTTGGCAGCCATATCTGACACTTTGTGGTTGAAGGCGGCCTCACTGAAAAAAGTTCAGATCCTGGCAATTGCTGCAACAGAGGCACCTCTTTAGGTAAGGTACTAAGTGTAGATCCATTGCCTAATATTTAACCTTGTTGGCTCCTGCCAGAGTTACATTGTCTAATCCAGCAGTGAAGGGGTCAATGTGCTCTTCTCTTATTTTCCTTTGCTCCTTCCTCAATGTCTTGTAACTCTGTGGGGAAGATTACAAATCTGGATGGAACTGGCGGGCTTTGTAGCCATTCCAGGTCCTAATTTATTTTCCGAAGCTTCATTAAATCTGGTTCACTATTTTTGGAAATAAATAGTCATGAAAAACCTGAAACATTTGCCAGAATCAAGACCTTTCTTTGGTCTTTCCTGCGTGAATTCCGGAAAAACAGCTGCATGGAATTCGACAGAACTGGCAGTTTTAGTTTGTTCTGAAAACTCTTCAACCTGTACTTCTTGCGCGCCCAGCGGCTTTTCAAACATATAAAATAAGGCTTGGGTTATGACACCTTATAAAATTAAGTAAATAACTAATAAGTTCTTCAACTTCCTTTATGTGATTTGGCACGTTACTATTTATTTTTTTAGCAGGCTGTTGCTAATTCCTTATTATTTCCTGGACTATAGGAGGTCATTTGGAGATGATCTACCGTTCACTAGCCACCAGAGATGCAATAGTTTAACTGGACCTAATTCTACTCTTCTCCTGGGCTCCATGCTAGAGGAACAGTCACATATAGGGTTCTTATGTGCCTTTTTAAAATTTACTTTTATTATTTACATTGTGTGCCAAACTGTCCTGGCACAGCCAAGGCATACAATGCAAATTAACTCAACATGGTTCCTGACAGAGGGCTACCATTAGAGCACATTCGTCATGTTGCACTGGTGATGTAATGCCATAGCACACTTTATAACTGATGCCTAGGTTCACACATTATGGCAATGAGGTGGTGCAGCAGAGACCCGGGAGTGCTCATTGTATGTTATACATGTTCCAATAGTAAACGAGTAACTAGCGCTTACTAAAGTGAGGAGACACAGAGCTTTCACTAGGAGAGAAGTTTCAATTTTAAAGGAATACATTTATTTATAACACCACAGTGTTGTAAAGTGTAATAAGATCACTGAGCCTTCCAATCCAGTGAGATTAAGAGGTTACTTCTAAACCACGGGTGAGAGGGTAGCTCCTCAAGGCAGCTCCAGTCCACCCCTGGATGGTCATCGCTAGTGATGGACTCCCAGCCATTTCTAGCGCTTTTTTTAGAGAAGCATTGGGAGACGGGATACATGCACAGCAATCGCTGTGTTACTCTGGCAGTGCTACTCATAGAGAATCCAGAAACATGCGAGAAAGCCTCCCCCTCCCCCCCCCAGCGCTTATTAAAGTAATAAAGTGGGGACGCGCTGCAGTGCTTTAAGGGTTTGGTGTGTTTAGTTATATTTTTGAGATTGTTAGACTACAATTCGTGCCCTGCTCAGCCACACTGATAGTCTTCCTTAATGAATGCTGAGGATCATGTGACATATCCTTTCCATATAGGATTTATCTTAGGTTATTGTACTAATCTAAACCTTCTCCCCTGAAGAAATGAGCAGAAAATGTCTAGTATGAAAGGTCACATGGTGAATATTCTAGGGTGTACGGCCTGGAAAATATGAGTAAGGTTTGTTTGAGATGAAAGGGTGATTAATACGTGGAGTATTTGGACTTGTAATATAAGAAAGGCGTTTATCACACGCTAATAAAGAGGCAGCAGGTTTTATATAAGGACACTGCCAAGTCTTTTACATTGCTTTTTCGTGGTCCCGTCAGACTATAGTGTATGTCGGACTGGATAATCAGACTCCTGCCTGTAATATAACCCGATAAACTTCACTCTGACTCTACAACTGGTTGCAGGCAAGGCACAGACAGGGCTTTTCATGCAAAAACACATGTTCCCATGATCCTTTGGTACAATAAAACAGCGTTGGAGTATTTGATTATTTACTATAATGTTGCCTGTATGTGGCTTTTATGATGAATGTTGAAGGCTATAGTTTTTTTATTTACTTTTTTAACCCCACCTCTGCCAATAAAATGTATATGTGGGTTAACATCCACTGCAAAATATAACCCATAAAGCTCTAATGCCTTTCTATTTGTTCTGAATTTTTTTTTTAAAGCTTGTATTGAAGAAGAACAACTCTCTTCCCATGATCCTTTCTGCCCTGGTGTATCTCCTCAAAGGGTCTTTCTCACCTCCAGCACAAAATATTACATTTCAAGGACAAACCACATTAAGTACAGAATAGAGATGATTGTTGTAGCACTGTGGAGTATACCAACATCTAGTTTACTGTACTTACTGTATGTAGGCCTTCTTTTTAAAATCTATTGACCTTTTCCAATTTCCTGCATTTGGTAGCTGTATTATTAAAGGAACACTATAGGGTCAGGAACACCAACCTGTATTCCTGACCCTATAGTGTTAAAACTACAATTTACACTGAACAAAATTATAAACGCAACACTTTTGTTTTTGCCCCCATTTTTCATGAGCTGAACTCAAAGAGCTAAGACTTTTTATATTGATTCAATGCATCCCTATGCAGAGATTCTAATTGACCAAACCGGCGTTTTGTCCCACCACTGCCCTGCCTCCTTGACGATCTTGGGCCAATCCAATGCATTTCCTGTTTGAAAGCATTGGATTGGTTGACGATCTGGCCTTTTATGGTGGCCAGCCTAAGGCACACTTTTGCAATAATCATACTGTCTAATTAGCAGCTTGATATGCCACACCTGTGAGGTGGATGGATTATCTCTGCAAATCTCGGCAAAGGAGAAGTGCTCACTAACACAAATTTAAACAGATTGTGAACAATATTTGAGAGAAATTGGCCTTTTGTGTACATAGAAAAAGTCTTAGAAAATTGGGGGGCAGAAGCATGTGTTGCATTTATAATTTTGTTCAGTGTAGTTAGCTTGTACCCAGATAAGGTACCTTATTTCCACTGGCTCCACCCTGAGCCCCAGGAAGCACCTCTAGTGGCAGTCTGAGAAGTGGCCACTGGAGGCGTCCCTAGGAAGCAACATAAAAACTGCAATGTGTCTGAAAAGGCAGTGTTTACATTAAAAAGCCTGCAGGGAGTGACTATACTCAACAGAACAACTACATTTAAGCTGTAGTTGTTCTGGTGACTATACTGTCCCTTTAAGCATGCCATCAGATTTCTTACAAAAAAGAAAAGGGGGGGGGAGGAGCAAGACATTTGACCAAACTTAATTTTCTGTTTTGATTTGTGCATTCTGTATGCAACCAAAGTGATATTTCGAATACACTGAAAATCTTTCTGGTCCTGTCTGAATTGAAAATGAAAAATCGGGGATACACTCTTCTGGAAAAAAAGAGGATTCGCTTTTCAGAAAGTTAATCTGCTTTAGGGGTGTGAACACTTTTTGTTTGGCTTTTTTTATTCCTTTACAGCTTCATTGTAGGATTCCCATTGGTCATCCCAGTCTGATTCGTATCTTGTATTTGTGATTTCTCAGTGATGTCACTTTATATTCATGACTTTGCTGAATTTGTAAAATGAAGAAGCTGCGATACCCCACCCCCACCCCCTCACCCCTTTACTGGACCTAGTCGTTATTATTATTTATAACGCGCCAACAAATTTCTCAGCTGTTCAATGGGTGGATGAACAGTCAAGTTGGACGTACAAAAAAATAAATAAAATGCTGCTCAGACGAGCCATTTTATTGAAACCGTTTAGGCAATGAGCTTCCTGCGCAGCTGTGCGAAGCGTTCAATGGGAGATTCTGCCTACACTCAGAACTGTTAGTGTTGCGGAGGTCTATTATGCAGTGTATCTGCAATTCTAGGGATTGTTTTATTTAGAGATTACATTCCTGGAGATCGTCCAGATAAACTATCCCAACTTCAGATTTCTGTGGCCTCAAATTTCCGTATTTATTCCCTACATCTTATCTCCATTCCCTCTGCAAGAAAATCATTTTCTTAGACAATGTAACAAAACTACACTTCTTTCTCTCTTGCCCTCTGTACCGCTCTTTTCTGCTTACTTGACATCTCTGTACAATAAATGCTGCTAAAGTTAGTGTGGTGAAGTATACTCTGCAGGTAAGTATTAACACACTTACCTTTGCAGTGTTGGATCTCTTGACATGCTTATGTGTGCTCAGGCATTTGCTTATAACTGGGCAAAATTTAAATCTGATTTGCTTAAGGTGCCCATGGCACCATAGAGATTTTTATTGTATGCCAGGCTGTGCAGCATGGCATATGATATGATTTGAAAAATGCTAAACGTTTAATTATAGATTTGTGAAAATCAGCATGCAAGTAATCATTACTCTTCTAAGGTGCAGGAGTCTCCCGAGTTCTGGGGTGCATTATATCTGCTCTGAATGTCTGCAGTTTGCACTTCAATGGGATTAATTTTGATGATGAATTGTGGGCAAATCTGACTGATAACTGGAACAGAACCTTCCTTTAAAATACTTTATAGGCACCAAGACCACTTAATGCCTCTTTCTTTTTAACCCTGCAACTGAAAAGATTGCCATTTGGCAGGAACGGCTTTATTTGCAGAGTTAAAGGGACACTATAGACACTATAACGATTTAATCTCTTTTGAACTGCTTATAGTGCTTGGAGTCCCCTGGCACCGTCCCTCCATTCAGTGTTAAGCCACATAAGGGCAATTTAACTAAATGAGTGTCCCTCCCCATGCACAGTCCAGCCTCTTCTGGAGGTGTGGCTAATGCAGAGATTACACACTTCCTTGTCGTCATACCCATTCATACCGTCAGTTGGAGTTGGAGCTCTGATAAAAGCAATCCGCTGACTCTCTCGGCCATCACAGCTGCCCATTGCTGTTCAGGCTAATACTTCCTTATTAGGCAAAGCAGCATAGATGGGATGGGCTATGGGGGACTCTCATTTAGAGTGATAACATTAAAAACGGTATGATACTGAATGAAATGACGGTACCAGGGGGCACAAGACACTGATACCAGTCTAATGAAATGATGCAGACAATGCCTACAGAGTCCTTTTAACACACCTCTAGTGTCTGCCTTCTTTACAGCCATTAAAAGAGCTTTCATAGCTAGAACTTTGGATTGGCTGAGATCATCTTGATCACGGAGAACATTTTGCAGTCCCCTCATCTGTTACCCATAGATACTGTTATAGTAAACTGTTTTTGTTGGAGACTGAATGCAAACTTATATTTGCAGTTGGCGTAAGTGTGTTATTTATTTTTATAGTTCACAAGGTTTTAAGAGTGTTTTTCAACATATACCATTCACAAAGTACGCTATTCTTATAAATAAAAAGTTTAAAGGACCACTATAGTGCCAGGAAAACACACTTGTTTTCCTGGCACTATAGTGCCCTGAGGGTGCCCCCAGCGCTGGGCGGGGAGCTCTCCTCCCTCTTCTTCCGTCACCGGCTGAATGCGCATGCGCGGCAAGAGCCGCGCACGCATTCAACCAATCCATAGGAAAGTGCTGGCGTCTTCTCACTGAAAATCAGTCTGAAACTGCTATGTTTATAGAAAAAAGGGTTAATCCTAGCTGGACCTGGCACCCAGACCACCTCATTAAGCTGAAGTGGTCTGGGTGCCTATAGTGGTCCTTTAAGTGCATTTGATTAGTATTTTGTATTTGCACCTAGAATTTGCCGGGTAGCAAGGTTTTCTGCATTATATAAATAAATAAATAAATAAAAATCCCACCCATCTCACTTTAATACTGCAAAACTCCTCTAACCAGGCCCCCAGCCTGATGGCAAAGGGTTAAAGGACCCAGGCCAACAGGCCTCGCACACTTCCCTTCTACAGGAAGCCGTTGGAGGTGCAATGAAACTTATTAAATGGAAAAATAGGGCTTGGCACAGCGCGGGCAGTTTTGTGCCTGCATGCCAATGTGCTGGAGTATTGTACTCCTCTGCAAAGAATATATTTTCCATTTCCTAGAGCATTAAGAGAGACTGTATTATTTTGGCCTTGTTAAATGCTTTTGCCGTGAGTTGACACGAGAGAATTTGCTGGCAAACAAATCCCTGCTATATCCTTTAGCCATATTCTGCCACGCCAAATTAGGGCCCCTATTTGAGAAGAAGGTTGATTGCATTTTAATGATTGCTAAATGGGTTTGATATATTGAAATGCTTTCGGCAGGTAGTTTAACCCTTTGATCAGTCTGGGAGTATTACAGAATATATTGGCAGGTCTTAAAAAAAAAAAAAAAGCTACGCTGAGCTACACACACGCACTCTCACTCTCTCACACACACTCGCACTCTCACACTCTATATCTAGCCCTCTAACTGCGAAACGTTCTGCTAGTAAGGTTGGGTGACCTTTTAACCAGCTTATTAAACCAAGGACACAGTTTTAGATCATTTAATGATTTTATTTTTTATTTTTAGTAGAATCTGCCATACATTGAAAATAATGTAGATAACACAAAGCATAAATAGTGACACACAGAACCTTACAAACATGTGTAGCAGACTGTTCTGTCTGCGGTCTATCTTTGTGATTTCTGTTCCAGTGCGTTTATTAGACTGGTTTTATTCTTCCTCCTGATCATCTTTATTCCCATCTCTTCCTCTTCCTTTATCCCCTCATACTTGTCACCATGGTAGCCCATTATTGCTTCCTGTCCTCTTTTTGGTGCCCGCATTCTCTTATCCTTATTCTAGTTTTGTTGTTTTTGTATTTTGCCTCCTTCACCTTTTTTGTGGGCTTGCAGCTTCACAAACCCCTTTGCCAGTCTGCTAGAAAAACAAACCCAATTTAAAATAGTTGTATTTTTTAGTAAAATCTAGACTAATGTTAATGGTTTTTTGAGCAGCACTCATGCTTTACTCCCAAAACATTACTTTTTCCTGATGCATCTCCTTTCCAACAAAACCATTAAGGGTTATTCGCATACATCTTATTGCCGTGTATAAGCCAAGAGTCCTCCGCCAAATTTGGCAGGGTTATCTTGTCCAAAGTCATTAGTATTGATTCTGGCCAGGGCATCATCAGAATAAATCCTGGAATTGACCAAAATGGGTTAGAATACTCACTGAGAAGAACGGTTTGTGCTTTGTTTTTTTTTTTTTTGTTTTGTTTTTCTTTCTCTCTCTCTCTCTCTCTCTCTCTCTCTCTCTCTCTGTCTCTCTCTCTCTGTCTCTCTCTCTCTGTCTCTCTCTGTCTCTGTCTCTGTCTCTCTGTCTCTCTGTCTCTGTCTCTCTCTGTCTCATGGAGATCATAAACACACGGCAGATGGACCGCTTCATCTTTGGCAGTATAGAGAATGTAATTGCTGCCAACCCCAGGAATCTGGAAATGGGGCAGCCCCCCAAACCCCCCTAATGGTTTTTGCATTTTGATCGATGATCTTGGTTCTTTCCAGTGAACATGCTCTGCCTCTCAGGGACAGAACTAGTACAGATAAGAACACGCTATGCCAAATGTCCAGCCTTTGCTGTGCATCGTAGGGGTGTACGAAGTGTACACGGGGAGAGCAAGCTGTGTGTACGCAGTCTCTGTATCCAGTGATTGAATACGTAAATACCGATTCTATATCCCATGTCTGGCATCTTTCTGTCTAATCATCTGCTTCTCTTTACTTAGCCTCTGTTACTATTATTTATAGTAGCAGGAACATTTATTGTAATAGGAACTACTTTTCCTTGTGTAGAACCAGCAGGTTGGGAAAAGTTTAGTAAAGCTCCACAGCCTTTGTCAACGTTGTCATTGGCCCTCTGTGTATATTCTCCTCCATCCAGCATTGTCACACCTCCCGCCTTATATCAGAGGCTCAGTGTGGAGTGGGCCTGTGCGTAATCTGACGTGGAAACACAGCAAACCGGCCCAGCAGAGGATGCTATTACTAGGTGCCGCCTTTTTACAAACTGTACAAAACATGTATTTCTCACACTGTAGTGCTTATTTGGCTGTGTAGGTCCCTGACCCCCCCTTAGATTGCTTAGAAAAAGTAGTTTATTCCCCTTTTCTCCCATGCTACGCCAGTCTCTCAGTGACTGGCCCCACCTCCAAGGCTGAGTTCATCAATGGAACGCCATGTTTACCCCTAGGAAAGCATTAAATCAGTCCTTTCCACATTGTGTGACAGTTTTACAGCCACTAGAGGAGGATCGAACCTTGTTTTGTAGTGCAGGATTATAAGAATAGGAACCGCTGTACAAAGGCCTCTTTATTGAGATGATATTCGTGGTCCTTTAGCCGTCTAATGGTGCAATGTAGTCCAGCATTAGATTAAGGCCATGGTATCGAGAAGATCTCCTGGGACCTTTAGGCCTGTAGTCTTAACCACGGAAGTTGCAGAGCGCAGACGTAAGTTTTCTTACAGTGTTTAATTAAACCATATTCCCAGCAAGTCCGCATGTGGGCGTCTGAAGAGATGGATTCTGGACACTTGGCAGTACCTGTGTTTTTCTTAACTTGCCCTGCAACTCTCTGTACATTTCAAACAAATTCCAAATCTCTAAACACAAGCCGCCCATCACAAGATGTCTGAGTAGATAACATCAGAATGTGGATCTGGCTGACTTCCTTCTACCTGTTTACAGCAGTGTCTCCAGAGCTGGCATGATCTGTGTGTTGATACAGCCGAGGCCTGCATACAAGGAGTCACAAAATCCCACTACCCACAGCCATGCCCTGCAGTACGGAACTCTTCTAAATCCTACTACCCACAACCAATCTACCTTACAGCCAAGTCCTGCAGTATGGAGCACCTCTAAATCCCATTACCCCCAGCCATTCTACCTTAAAGCCAAATCCTGCAGTACGGAGTGCTTCAAAATACTATTACCCTCAGCCATTTGGATTAAAGCCAAGTCCTGCAGTACAGAGCACCTCTAAATCCCATTACCCCCAGTCATTCTACCTTACAGCCAAATCCCGCGGTACGGAGCGCTTCTAAATCCCAGAAGCCCCATCCATTCGGCTTACAGTCAAGTCCTGCAGAGTGCATTTAGATCATTTTACCTCTAGCCATTCTACGTTACTGCTGATACCTCTAATAAGGAGATCCTCCAAATTGCTGTATCCCTAGTCTTTCTACTTTACTACTGTGTTCTGCAATACATATTTTCTATAAATCTCATTACTCCCAGCCCTGATACCTTACCGCCAGGCCCTGCATTAATAACTCTCAGATTTTACACTTTGTAGCAGAATCACGCAGTGCGTAGTTCATCCAGATCTCATTATTCCCAGCTGCTCTACTGGATAGCTGTGTCCAACATATGAAGCTTCTCTTAATCCCATTACCCCCAGCCCTTAACACCCAGAGTCCAATGATCTCTCCTCATTCACTGTACTTTACTTTCTGCTCAGACATGTACGAGCTGCTTTTCTTTGTTTAGATATTGTTTTACTAGGAGTACATTCTCCATAATACAATGTCTCCTTGCTGATTTTTTTTCTCTACAAATTCCCTGCACTGAAAATATATATATATACAAAAAATGTGTTTCTTGGCACTCGCCCTTTTATGTATATAATCCAGTATAGCCTAGGTGCAATCCCACGTTGGAATATGTACACAGAAAATAAAGAGATGCACTCTTAGGACTTAATAAGTGGGGGAAAAAAAGGAGGTAGTTTATTCCAATAGGTATAGCATCAAAAATTGCCGACGCTTCGACCCATTCGGGTCTTTCTCAAGGTATATATATAATATTTTTTTTTTTCTCTCGATTCTGTTCAGTCTTTATTAAATTGCTGTGCAGAAATTTCATCCCGCCATCACTAGCATTCTACTCTGTTCTTCTTCAGGGATATTCCTCAGTATGCCCAAACATTACAAAATAAAGAGCCATGTAGCCATAGTTTGTGACCGGAAAACTATGCATTTTATAGAAGATATTTCTACTTTACTTAGCCTTTCTAAAAATCAACCCCAGCAGACTTGCACATTCCTGGGATGGATGCATCCAATCTTGGACTTTCCTGGGATGGACGCACCCAGTGTTGGGCTTTCCTGGGATGGACGCGCCCAGTGTTGGGCTTTCCTGGGATGGACGCGCCCAGTGTTGGGCTTTCCTGGGATGGACGCGCCCAGTGTTGGGCTTTCCTGGGATGGACGCGCCCAGTCTTGGGCTTTCCTGGGATGGACGCGCCCAGTGTTGGGCTTTCCTGGGATGGACGCGCCCAGTGTTGGGCTTTCCTGGGATGGACGCGCCCAGTGTTGGGCTTTCCTGGGATGGACGCGCCCAGTGTTGGGCTTTCCTGGGATGGACGCGCCCAGTGTTGGGCTTTCCTGGGATGGACGCGCCCAGTGTTGGGCTTTCCTGGGATGGACGCGCCCAGTGTTGGGCTTTCCTGGGATGGACGCCAGTGTTGGGCTTTCCTTGGACGCCCAGTGTTGGGGGATGGACGCGCCCAGTGTTGGGCTTTGCTGGGATGGACGCGCCCAGTGTTGGGCTTTGCTGGGATGGACGCGCCCAGTGTTGGGCTTTGCTGGGATGGACGCGCCCAGTGTTGGGGCTTTGCTGGGATGGACGCGCCCAGTGTTTGGGCTTTGCTGGGATGGACGCGCCCAGTGTTTGGGCTTTGCTGGGATGGACGCGCCCAGTGTTTGGGCTTTGCTGGGATGGACGCGCCCAGTGTTTGGGCTTTGCTGGGATGGACGCGCCCAGTGTTTGGGCTTTGCTGGGATGGACGCGCCCAGTGTTTGGGCTTTGCTGGGATGGACGCGCCCAGTGTTTGGGCTTTGCTGGGATGGACGCGCCCAGTGTTTGGGCTTTGCTGGGATGGACGCGCCCAGTGTTTGGGCTTTGCTGGGATGGACGCGCCCAGTGTTTGGGCTTTGCTGGGATGGACGCGCCCAGTGTTTGGGCTTTGCTGGGATGGACGCGCCCAGTGTTTGGGCTTTGCTGGGATGGACGCGCCCAGTGTTTGGGCTTTGCTGGGATGGACGCGCCCAGTGTTTGGGCTTTGCTGGGATGGACGCGCCCAGTGTTTGGGCTTTGCTGGGATGGACGCGCCCAGTGTTGGGCTTTCCTGGAATTTATCTTTTAAGTTCCTGAGCTCTGACCTGATTTTTTTATTTTTTTCCTTCACTTCATAGTAACTCAGGATTATTCACTAAAGTGAGAATTCAAGGTGAATTCAAAGTGAATTTCAGATTTAAGGCCAGAGTAGCTGAATGGAAAGCTTAGCTGACCTGAGAATTTTTCTAGTTCGGCTATTTTGCCCTCCTATAGTTCCCTTCTTGCCTCAATGCTTTTCTATGGGGATTTTAAAGACTCTGAATGTCCTCATTCACAGCTTGTGGACATCCATTGTCAAGACCACCCTGAATTAAGTGCCTCAAATCGTCTAACAGCCACAAGAGGCAGTCTTAATTCTGCAAAGTAATAATTGCAGTTTCTCTAAAATTGCAATAATTTACATTGCAACCAGACCACTTCAATGAGCTGAAATGGAATGGGCTCCTATGGTGTCACTTTAAATTCTCTCTTTAGTGAATACTCCTGGTCTCCCTCCAGAACCAATCCACTGGATATGCACATAGCTTCAATCTCTCTTCACTAATGCTTGACCCACTGAATTACCAACATTCTCTGCTCTGGAGCCCAGAAACTAAATTCACTGTTTGTTACGTGTGATTAGCTAGATTTCCACTGATATCCTCTCAAAATGGGCTGCTAACTTTGAAAATTACTCCAAATCAAATATTTCACCCAATATTTTTGTTACTCAGTTCACTACAGGTTACAGTTCATTGAATAAAGGCTCGGGTCTTCTGAGAATGGGTCAAACACAAAGAATGATATTATGGAGTGCCAGCTTGGCATGGGCAACTGATTAAATTGGGATCATTAGCCTTTCTGTGATCTGAGATTTAACACATTTATCTAGCTTTCGGCAAAAACTTTTACCCGTAGCTTTTCCAATCCCACCAAGCTTGCAGCACACCTGTAGTCAAAGCGGAAACTTGACCTCCGGGCTGAGACTGTAACTGAGAGCCTTTTGCTCCTCATCTATTGCTTTGCTTGACCTTTGGATAAATGATGTCTGCCCATAGTTGTGATATCTGTGTACTTTCACCCCGTTATAAGTCACCAACCTTAACTAGTCCTTAGCTTAGATGAAAGTTATTGTGCAGTACACACCCTGCGATAAGCAAGCTAAACACACAGAATGAAGGTTTGAAGAGTGTAGTGCCGAACTGATATGCATGTGACCTTACATTTAACCTGCTGTAGACTGCGAATATTTCTTCCTTAAGTTACTAATAAACGTATCTGTCTTGCAGAGGTTTTTAGCTAGAACACAGCAGGTGACAGAATCTTGTGAGTCGTCATGGCTGGGTTCCATGTGTGTTTCCTTTTTAAGACGTTAGGCTCTCAGCCATTGATTTTGCGTGTGGACATTTAGCGTTTAGATAGCAGTTTGTTTCCTCATAGGAAAACCATGCAGAGAGACCTCCACAGCTTCAAAATCAAAAGAAGAATTATTGTCGTTTCCGCAAACTGCTTTGAAGAACTTAACACAGGCCAGGAACTTGAAGAATAAGAACAAATAATGAACGCCCACCTTCCAAAGCAATTGGCTTATGTTTTGTATTGTAAAAGACATAAATCCTAATAAAAATGGATAAGGTGGCAGCCTGGTTTTAATTAAACTAAATCTTGACTGGATACCTTTGCCCATCCAGAGATGACCCCTCGGTTATGTGGTAGGTTCTTGATGTGACACAGCTGACCTCATACAAAGGTTTTGTGTTTTTGTTTTTTGGCCCCTGGGATGCAGTGGAAGTGAGTTGTAGTTACTTGATGCTGTCCACCGTATACTGCACCATCTTTGTTCTTCAGCTCCTGGTGCGTCGTTCTGCCAGGAGCCCACATCTCTTCTTTACTTATCCACATATGTGAGAGTGTAACATTGATGGCTTTGGAGGATCATGCAGGAACCTCCATAGATTATAAGATTTTGAATCTGGTGATCGAGCCATTTTACATAGGAATTGTCATCCTTATAAGGGAGCTGCTGTCACTTCTCTGAAAATTACATCTTTGAATAACTTATTGAAAAACCTCTATAAATTATGTTAACCTTCTTTCATGTGATGCTCTATTTTTCTATGGAATGTATGTTAAAGATTTAGCAATTTTCAGAATAATCCAGTTCAGGCCTGGCACAGACAGGGCACATACTGCATTGGCAGAGATGTATCACAGTGTTCAGAAAAAGGGCAGTTACATTTCCTTCATTATTTTGTATTTATTAAAAAATCTATAGCAGAAAAATTCATAAGTCTGTTGCTTCAGGGGGAAGAAATTGCACATATTAAAAAATGACAGTTTAAATGCAAAAGAAAGAAGGAAATGAAATGGAAGGAAAAAAATCAAACTGATTTTAATAAATTGCACCAAGCAGTAGAAAAATTGACTGAAAAGAGTCAGCAAGACTTGGCTACATCTCCCCCATTGTTAATTTCTTGCTCTCTCTGCCTGCCTGGTGCAATATTTATTTATTTATTTATATAGTTTATAACAATCGGGGCCACTAGCCATTGATTGGTGAAAATTCAACCCTGGTGAGTAGATATTCACCACTTCATATTCCCTTGCGTTTTCTGAGTTTTGAAATTTGGCGATTTTTCTGATTCATTTTAAACTATTTATAGAGGTCAAGATATTTGTATTAAAGCCGAATGGAAACATCCCACCAATTAAATATAATAATAAAAAAAAAAAAAAAAGATAAAATAAATATTGTTAGTCTTTTTCCAGATGTGCAAATTGTCACATATAAAATTGTTTAAGGAGGTGGGTTTAACTGTGGTTCCTAGGTTCTTTTTACTTGAGTGGGGGGTCTTTAGTCTCTGTATGTGGGTGAGAAAAAGACAAGATAACCTAATAGTGCAGTAAGTCTAAATAGGCCTGTTAATAATAATAGTAATGCACTCACATTTGAAAGAGTTATAACCAGCTCTAGTATGGATTGCCTATAGTTGTATAATCCCCACTTATGGGATATGGTGGTGGTAGGTCTCGACTGGTAGTTGTCTAGATGCTCAGAGAGAAGATAAGAATAGCCACAGATAGTGCTCTCAGTAAGACAATAATAATTGTGTTGAATATAAAAATTGTACTTACAAAGGTAGAGCAGGCTAACTGCTCTGTGGTGACCGCGTTGGTGGTGGTATAATCCCCACCTAGGATTTTTAAACGTAAAGCAGGCCCACTGCTCTGTGGTGACCGCGTTGGTGGTATAATCCCCACCTGGGATTTGAAACGTAGAGCAGACTCACTGCTCTGTGGTGACCGCGTTGGTGGTATAATCCCCACCTGGGATTTGAAACGCAGAGCAGGCTCACTGCTCTGTGGTGACCGCGTTGGTGGTATAATCCCCACCTGGGATTTGAAACGTAGAGCAGACTCACTGCTCTGTGGTGACCGCGTTGGTGGTATAATCCCCACCTAGGATTTGAAACGTAGAGCAGGCTCACTGCTCTGTGGTGACCGCGTTGGTGGTATAATCCCCACCTGGGATTTGAAACGTAGAGCAGGCTCACTGCTCTGTGGTGACCGCGTTGGTGGTATAATCCCCACCTGGGATTTGAAACGTAGAGCAGACTCACTGCTCTGTGGTGACCGCGTTGGTGGTATAATCCCCACCTGGGATTTGAAACGTAGAGCAGGCTCACTGCTCTGTGGTGACCGCGTTGGTGGTATAATCCCCACCTAGGATTTGAAACGTAGAGCAGGCTCACTGCTCTGTGGTGACCGCGTTGGTGGTATAATCCCCACCTGGGATTTGAAACGTAAAGCAGGCCCACTGCTCTGTGGTGACCGCGTTGGTGGTATAATCCCCACCTGGGATTTGAAACGTAGAGCAGACTCACTGCTCTGTGGTGACCGCGTTGGTGGTATAATCCCCACCTGGGATTTGAAACGCAGAGCAGACTCACTGCTCTGTGGTGACCGCGTTGGTGGTATAATCCCCACCTGGGATTTGAAACGCAGAGCAGGCTCACTGCTCTGTGGTGACCGCGTTGGTGGTATAATCCCCACCTGGGATTTGAAACGCAGAGCAGACTCACTGCTCTGTGGTGACCGCGTTGGTGGTATAATCCCCACCTGGGATTTGAAACGTAGAGCAGACTCACTGCTCTGTGGTGACCGCGTTGGTGGTATAATCCCCACCTGGGATTTGAAACGTAGAGCAGACTCACTGCTCTGTGGTGACCGCGTTGGTGGTATAATCCCCACCTGGGATTTGAAACGTAGAGCAGACTCACTGCTCTGTGGTGACCGCGTTGGTGGTATAATCCCCACCTGGGATTTGAAACGTAAAGCAGGCTCACTGCTCTGTGGTGACCGCGTTGGTGGTATAATCCCCACCTAGGATTTGAAACGTAAAGCAGACTCACTGCTCTGTGGTGACCGCGTTGGTGGTATAATCCCCACCTGGGATTTGAAACGTAGAGCAGGCTCACTGCTCTGTGGTGACCGCGTTGGTGGTATAATCCCCACCTGGGATTTGAAACGCAGAGCAGGCTCACTGCTCTGTGGTGACCGCGTTGGTGGTATAATCCCCACCTGGGATTTGAAACGCAGAGCAGACTCACTGCTCTGTGGTGACCGCGTTGGTGGTATAATCCCCACCTGGGATTTGAAACGCAGAGCAGGCTCACTGCTCTGTGGTGACCGCGTTGGTGGTATAATCCCCACCTGGGATTTGAAACGTAAAGCAGGCTCACTGCTCTGTGGTGACCGCGTTGGTGGTATAATCCCCACCTAGGATTTGAAACGTAAAGCAGACTCACTGCTCTGTGGTGACCGCGTTGGTGGTATAATCCCCACCTGGGATTTGAAACGTAGAGCAGGCTCACTGCTCTGTGGTGACCGCGTTGGTGGTATAATCCCCACCTGGGATTTGAAACGCAGAGCAGGCTCACTGCTCTGTGGTGACCGCTCCCACCTGGGATTTGAAACGTGAGAGCAGACTCACTGCCCAGTGGTGACCCCATAAGCAGGTATAATCCCCACCTGGGATTTGAAACGTAGGAGCAGGCCTACACTGCTCTGTGGTGGTGACCGCTACAGGTATAATCCCACCTGGGATTTGAAACGTAGAGCAGGCTCACTGCCTGTGGTGACCGCTACAGGTATAATCCCCACCTGGGATTTGAAACGCAGAGCAGCTCACTGCTCTGTGGTGACCGCGTTGGTGGTATAATCCCCACCTGGGATTTGAAACGCAGAGCAGGCTCACTGCTCTGTGGTGACCGCGTTGGTGGTATAATCCCCACCTGGGATTTGAAACGCAGAGCAGACTCACTGCTCTGTGGTGACCGCGTTGGTGGTATAATCCCCACCTGGGATTTGAAACGTAGAGCAGGCTCACTGCTCTGTGGTGACCGCGTTGGTGGTATAATCCCCACCTGGGATTTGAAACGTAGAGCAGACTCACTGCTCTGTGGTGACCGCGTTGGTGGTATAATCCCCACCTAGGATTTGAAACGTAGAGCAGGCTCACTGCTCTGTGGTGACCGCGTTGGTGGTATAATCCCCACCTGGGATTTGAAACGTAGAGCAGGCCTCACTGCTCTGTGGTGACCGCGTTGGTGGTATAATCCCCACCTGGGATTTGAAACGTAGAGCAGACTCACTGCTCTGTGGTGACCGCGTTGGTGGTATAATCCCCACCTGGGATTTGAAACGTAGAGCAGGCTCACTGCTCTGTGGTGACCGCGTTGGTGGTATAATCCCCACCTGGGATTTGAAACGTAGAGCAGACTCACTGCTCTGTGGTGACCGCGTTGGTGGTATAATCCCCACCTGGGATTTGAAACGTAAAGCAGGCTCACTGCTCTGTGGTGACCGCGTTGGTGGTATAATCCCCACCTGGGATTTGCTTAGGAGTAGTAGCAGATGAATTAAAAAATAGGAGATAAAAAAAAAAAAAAAGTAGTAAAATATATTATTAGTAAAAAGCCAGGAAAAATGTATAAATAAAAAGGTATTGGTACAATAAAATGATGTAAAACCAAAGTTCTTTATTATATCAGAAGAAAAAAAAGTAATTTCCATAACGCATTTCGTCATAACAGACTTTATCAAATGGAAAAGTTGAGGTCACCTCCTTCAGTGTTGCCCGCCATTGCAGTGTGGATCTGCTATGGTCTTGATAGAAGCTCAGAGAGTGCTGTTCGAAAATGCATTGTGATTGGCCTTGAACTTGTGCCAAAATTGTGTCAGTGCGTGATGGAAAAAGCTTAGGATTACATCTCTATGTGCAGTGGACTTGTTATTAGGATTCCCTGGGAGATGGTAGAACCCATCAAGCAGTGTTCCCTTCGCCTGTTTTGGTGTCAGGGTAGTTGAGAGTAGCCTTCTGATGTACTGTGGGAGCTCGCCAGCATCCATGGTGTTGGGGATTCCCCTGATTTTCAGATTGTGTTGTCTGGTTATATCTTCCAACTGTCCCACTTTCGCACTCAGTGCTGCACATGTAAGGGATACCTCATGTAGTTGAAAAGCTGTGGTGTCTTGTTGGACTCCCAGGCTGCGGACATTTTCCTCCGTGGAGTTCATTCTGCCCACCAAAGTGCTGAGATCCGCTTTCAAGACTGCCATCTCTGCAGCAAAATATGACTTTATGTCCGTCTCCATCGCCGTGATATCCATCCTTTTGGCCCACTGTGTGTCTGGCTGCCGCGGAGGGACAGCTCTGCCACTGCGGGGTTGTAGCTGGAGCTCCTCCAGCTCTGGGTCCTCCCCTTTCCGAGGTCGATGTGGGGTGTATTAGACATTAGGTCCGCGATTTTGGACCTGGATGGATTGAAAAGTAAAAAGCCGATATCATGGGTTTGGCCACTGCCCAAGCCCCTGGATTTTCGGGAGTGCTTCCCCATGTTCTCTAACTCCAGGTGGTGCCTTGCAGGTTCTAATTGTCTCACCCAAGGTTGTGATTTTAGGGTGTATAGTCGTCCCTATGTCGAAGTTTAGGAAGCTTGCGATCGCACCATTTGCTGGCTAGCCCCCCCCCCCCTATATTTTTATTTCATCCTAACCTATGGCATGTTTCTAAAACACAGCAATGGTTTCTGGCATTACTTCTTAAAGAAAGGTTTCCATTATCCCCCCTACACACAGGTCAGGGCTTGTATGATGTTCCAAAGTATGGCTCGCCCTTCACACATAAAGCACCGCATTCAGCGTTTGGAGTGTTGCTTTAACATGAACAGTGTGTTATTTTTATTTTTTTTTCTTCATTTTACAAAGATTCAAAATTGACACTTAAATAAATTAATAAATTAATCTTGTTACACTCACTGGCTGTCAATTAGACAACTGGTCCTGTTACTTCCTGGTTTGGTTAGTTCAGTGGAACTAAATTCAAGAGGCAGCAATTGCCCAGAGCACCTGCCCTGCAAAGACTTCTCATTGAGCTGCATTGGGAAGGCTGTGATTGGACAGCCACAGAAAGACTGGGTGGAGTTAGAAGGGGAGGACTTGTAAAGGCTGCAGACAAGAGATCTCTGACTATTGCAAGCTATTTTTAGATATACCCCCAAAGAAATAGAGAATGCAGAAATAAACGCATGCCTGTTTAGTATATCTACTTAAACAATTACCTTTCATTGGAGTGTTCCTTTAATGTATTGTTAGAGATTTCCATTATTTAGCCCTAGTATGTCTTTATTTGTGTGTGGTTCTCGGTCAAGTGCTTGAGGCATGAGCTCCAGACTAGCCGGCCTTTTAATCCACACTCTTTTTACAGCGGTGATCCTTTCTCCCAGACCTGCAGTAAATTAGCGACCGTGACAAATAATAGGAAAAAAACTCATTTAGGTGGGAAACGTTAAGCATCCGCAATGATTTACATATTAATTAGAAGTGCTTCGAGGCAGGGAGTCTGCAGCTAATCTCTGAAAAGGAAAAAAGCACAGTGCAATGGGTGAAATTGTTTCCAGAGGGTGAAGTGGAGTTCAAGGGAGAGCGCGCTAATTGAAGCCGATTCTCAGTCGGTGTAGCCAGGACACCATGCAGTGCAAGCGGAACTGAAGATGCACTTCCTACCTTTTGGAGACTGATGAACCGTTTCTTTTAAACATGCCAAAAGGTTGGTGATAAAGGGAAGCATCGGAAAGATCTTTTTTTAGGGTTTGATCAGAGATTTCCAAAGGAATACATTGCCAAATTACGATCCCTTCTTTCCTGTATCCATGATTTTGCATTTATTGCTGATCACGTTTGTTGAAGGCTTTACAATCTAACTGGCATGCTTTTTGGTGCACTCGTTCTAAAGTCCATACACTGTAAGCCCTTTGCAATGCTGGGATCTAATCAGTTCATATGTGTAAATCTTGTGTTGTGATTGGCTGCTGATATCACATGGTCTCAAGAAGATCCTTCACTTCCTGATATCGATTTGGGGCAGTTAGAAGGTAGTTTTCCAGTTGTGTTGAAACTACAGGTTCAATGCTCAGCAGTGATCCTAGAAAAAAACAGTAACCTTTTGTTGGCTGAGGATTATGGGAGGTGTGCCTCATGAACTAGGGAGCTTTTTTTTTTTTACCAATATCCTGTTATTTGCCTAATTCAAGGCCAAGTGATAGGGTGGAGTGAGCGAAGGATATGGGCCGCACAAAGTAGGGTGGGGTGTGCCACCGCTGGATGCCTGTTGTGCTGACGTTAAACGTCCTATATGCACACAATTGATATTAGCCAGCCTGGAACTCCTAGGATACCACAATAATACTGCAGGAGATGGAGTAACACCTCTGGTAGCAAAGGGGTTAATCTCCATATGTGCAGTGCTTCATAGCGGAATGCTGCACTTAGATTCCAGGCACCATGACTGCTTCAAATCACTGAAGTGATTTTGGTGCTTGGTAACCCTTTAAGACACTGGGCTGTTAATCAGTGTCTCTCATAGTGTTCTATAGGAATAGTGTCTGTGAGTATTTAGGGCCGCTGGCGCCCTCAGTCTCTCCCCCCACACACGTGTCTCTGGCTTCTGTGAGTCCCCAGGCCCATGTTTTCCCATAAAACACGCCTGCACAGCTCACTCCCTAATGAGGAATGTGCTGCACGGATAAAAGGCTGTCCCGGGGGCCCTGTATTTGGAGGTGGTTTTTTTTGTGTGTATTTTTTTTTTTTTAATGTTGCTGCCAGAACCCTTCTCTGATATTATTTCTGAGGTTCGTGTCAAGTTGCACATAAGTGAGGACATGATAGGACAGGCAGATAGCAACACCCTGGGAACAGGAAAGTATGAGGCAGCATTACTCTTTATTTGGCAAATGAGGGTCATTTAGGCGCCAGATAAACGTACAGTAATGAGCTGCTATGTTCTGGATATCTTGCTTACCGCTGCCTTTTCGGTCTGGTGGTTCATGCCCGTCTCGCTCAGGTCAGCTTGGGGTGTGCACTTGACACCTGTAGACTGCCAGCTTAGTCTAAGCTCCATGTGTCATTGTGTCCCAATATGGTCACCCACTGGCCTAGATCATTTATCAGAGGGAGGAAGCATGAGACTATATCTCTGCCACAGCATCCATCCCAAAAAGCTGGACCATTTCTAAATCTACAAGATTGCGTGTGTATGTAGCTGATTTCAAAATAAAGGATTTCTTGAATTTAATTCAGTTGAACATTTTTTTTCTAAGGCTCAGAAGGCATATGATCTAAACCTATATTTTCCAAAGAATTAATCCTTTCGTTCTCTGAGGGTTTGCCACATGTTACGCTGCCCTTTAGCACTTGAATCTTTCCAAATATATTGCTGCCCTGTACCTAATCCCCCCCCCCCCAAGTGTTTGGGGCACAAGCCCCCTTTCATCGGAAGATCTATCCGTCTTTTTATGGTTTTGAGATGAATGGCATTTTTTCACCTAAAGTGGCAGCTTGCTTACCCAAAAGCGTTAAGCATGAACGACCCAAAACGAGGGCCTTCCAAGTAAAGCGAATGCTGTTATTTCAGCCAGTCCCGGCTGCTTACATTAAGACTTAATCTTGTTGGCAAGGAACTATAGGGGGTACTTGGCATGTGGCTGGTTAATAGCGAGAAGTAAATGAAGCAGTGACTGGCTGTTTTTTCAATTAAGTGTTTGAAGCTGTCACGGAGAAGGTGTAAAATTTTGCTCCCCCTTCACCCTTCCTCCCTCCTCCCATTCTCCTTGCAAACTGCGGCTCCCCTCTGGAAAAGATCTTTTCAGTCAGACTTCTCTGTTCACTTTTATTATAAGATAAACCTTTCATCTTTTATTGTTATGAGTTAAGGGCAGTTCTGGAGGTGTGCCGCATGTTAGTGAAAACAGCTGTGGCGCACAGAGCGGCAAGATCAGGTGGCCGCCACCACCACACAATGTCTGACCATTTAACTCCTCAATTACCATAGCGCTTTCTCCCATTTCCTGTCTAAATGGGCTATAAAGGCTCCAGTCTCTTTAACATTCTGTGGGCAAATTGAGCAACACAATGTGTCAGCCAGGCTTTGGGCGCTCAGATTGCGTGCGTGGCCCTTTTTAGCTTTGTACCATTTGGGTTTTCTTTCAAAAATGTGTAAAATTTCTAAATGTAAAAACCATAGCCTTTTATTGCCCCGTCATCAAGCAAATAAATGTTTTTTTTTCTTTTCCCTCCCTCACTCTCTGGACATAACATTCTTTATCAGTTCTAACTATTGTTATTCTGTGAATTATTACTTACTATTTTCTGATGTGTTTCTGCTAAATAGTTTCACAATTATGGAAATACTATAAATTAAATCTGTTTTAAATTTACCATTCTCATGTTTGCTTTTATACACTTTATTTTATTCTATTCCGGTATTGATTATGTTTATATAATGTTTTTTTTTGTTTGTTTGTTTGTTTTTGGTTTTTACACAAACCTAAAAAAAAAAAACATTTTCTTGAAAAAAAAAATATAGATAGTGATAGAAATAAATACAGCGCTACAGAGTTTAAGCAATAAAATAATAAGAGTGAGAGAGAGAGATATAATTTTAAATGCAGTATTACAGCAGTGTTTGCTCATTTACCTGAAGGCACAATGCAGTGTCTCTCCTATTTGATCCCCAGTCAAATTTAATGACCAGTTGGAAACAAGTGGTAAGTTTTGGGTAACCTCCAAGTTTTTTGCTCCATTTGGCATATGCAGTAAGTGTTTTATTTATTTTTAATTTCTAAAAAAAATAAAATAAATAATGAGCCTTACGATAATATATTTAATTACTGCTCATGTCAATGAAGGTGTTTTGCCGATTGGAATCTTTTTACTTTTTGTTGTGTCGTAAATATTAAAAGTAAATTGATGTCTTAGCCATTTAAAAATAAAACTCGGATCAGTGAAACTAGAGCTAAAAAAGACAAATATTTTGCACATACTGTAAGGAGCACCTGAATGCCAGCTAGGTAGGAGCAGAAGTGTTTTCGTACAGTTTCATACTTTTACCTTCTGCCATTGTGCTGTTGTTGGCACAGTCCCTCACTGATGATGTCAGCGGCCTGAATCACTTTTTTTAGTAGCTGAGAAGCTGAAAAGGGGCCACGTTTTGTCTGAGAGGCCCCTCGTTCTCTTCAGCTGCAGATCGGTGAACTGATCACCCAATCTGGCACGCAGGAAGAGGAGATGAGGAGCATAGGTCAGGCAATTTGTCCGCTTTATAATTTCTCCCAGATAGTAATTATCCCTAATAGTATAAACGTTCTGCGAGGCTGCAGCCAGCTGTGCTATTGTAATGGTACCACAGAGACGAGAGTGGATTAAAGCCGCACTTGGCAGCGCATACAGAGTAGTCCGTCACTCGGGCGAGAAAGCAGCTTGTTTGTGGGGAGCAAGGAGAGAGATTTAAAGTCATCACAGAGTAGTTTGCTTACAGTAAAAGTCATTTTGTTTCCTGTTATTTTTTTTAAATTTTTTTCTATTTATTTTATATGATCCCACTAAGCCAACCATTGGCATGCAATTTCCATCTTTTAAACTGGTCCATCGTGTCTAAGCTTAAGTTATAGTATAGCATGAGTGATGGTCGGGATTCCAGAAATGCACACATTTGAATATCTAGTTAGAAAGCCACAACATAGCGTTGTTTAAACCAAAGTAGCGGACAGCGATACTGAACAATCCTAATGGCTGCAAGAACAACAAAACGGCAGCGAACTCTCCGCAGGAAAGGTTTAAATACCCTGCAAGATGGAGTCAATTCGGCTGTGCCGGAAGACAGGTAGACATGCTTAACTGCAGTGCAGCAAGGCCGAAATAATGTAAGGCTCCAACCGTTGAAGAGTGGTGGTGGTGGTGGTGTCGTCATTCGAACAAATACCTATGTGCTATGTGCATATGTGAAGTTGTATGCCTTTAATAAAGATTCTGCCAATGTACAAAATCCCCCCCCCCCCCTTTACCCAGTCCTAATAAAAATTAACCTGTTCCCTGCCAGTTAATCACTGCCTACAGTGAAATGAGTTTTTTAACTTTTATATATTTTGTTTTAACCCTCAGGGGTTCAATTTATTTCAATAATTAATTTAAATATTTGAAAATGATATTTTAAAATGATATATTTTGCTAGCTGGGGTGGGTGGGAGTTATGGGATATTGGGGAATTTACTGTTAGTGCTGCTTACTGCTAGTTAGGAGTTAACTGTAAAAAAAAAAAAAAAAAAAAAAAAGTTTAAGAAAGTTTTTAAAAGTTTTCAAAAAGTAAAGCAAATTTTAAAAAGTAAAAAAATATATATTAAAACATGCTCATTACCACTACACCTGGAACAAACTAGTGAAAAGATGATCCCACGCTAATGTTCAAAATATGCCTTTTGAAAAAACCCCAGGGTGTATTCTTAAAAAAAAAAAAAAAAATTTTGATGTGTTTGTGGGGTAGTTTGAATAACCAACCAGCTAAACTACTCCAAAATGGAACATGGACACAGCGTAAAATTTCAAAGTTAGAAAAAAAAAAAAAAACTGTGTCTCAAATGTGCCCCTTCAACATCCACATATACCTGGCAAAGTTACATACGAGGGTATTGTTATACTCAGACGACATAGCTGAGCAACATCTGAAATATTATACAGCCATAGCACACATAAGATTTGCAAAATATACTGTGCAAACTCAATCTGTGCGTCAAAAAGGTAGAAAATAATGCTTATTACCACTACAGATGGTACAAGCTAGTGGAAATATTATCCCATGCTAAGGTTCAAAATCTGCATTTTGAAATACCCTGGGATGTCTTCTTTACGAAATGGTACGCCTTTATGGGGTAGTTGGAATATGTAGTCTGCTAAAGTGCTCCAAAGTGGGACACGGACGCATCAAAACCCTCCATGAAAATGCACACTTAAAAACCTGAACTTGTCACGTCTCTTTTACAGCACTGTAACTTCACAAAATAGTGTCTAGGTCATACATTGGGTATATTGTTTTACTCAGAAGATGTAACTGAGCATAATTTGGGGGATTTTTTTTTCCCCCTCACCACAAACATTGGCATAAATTGGTGAAAAAATGGTGACAAGTTAAGGCACAATATAATCCATGTAAGATACCCTGGGGTGTCTGCTTTATCAAATGAAAGCCCTTTGTGGGGTTATTTGAACAGTCAAACTGCTATAATACCCCAAAATGAGACACAGGCCCGTCAAATCCATCTATGAAAATTCATAACTGTAGAAACTGAAATAGCTTTGTCACTTATATGGCATTGTAGCTTCACAGAATAGTGCCAAAGGCATGCAATGGGGGTATTCTTATATTCAGCAGATGTAGCTGAACACAATATGGGGTTCTGTGCAGGAATAGCACACACCAACTTTAAGAAATACACATTACAAAAACCTTGTTATATGTGTATATGTCACAATATTACTCCAATATTTAGCAGAGAGTGGCAATGAAATGGCAACGTAAAAAGTGTCAATATAACCTTCGATAAATAGCCTGTGATATCTACTTCTAAAATGGTTTCACATTGAAATTTTATTTTAGTATTTTGTGACCTGTAACTTTTAAAATACGTGAAATCCTACACACATTATGTAGTCTATAAATCAAGACACATACATTTATATTTTTTAAATTTAGTTTTCGGAAGCAGGACATATTATGCACACACTATTATTGCCAAAACTGTGGAAAAAAAACCTGGGTTTTTGTCTTCATTTTTTTTTTTTACTTAATGAGAATGTATCTACAGTATATACTCGAGTATAAGTCTAGTTTTTCAGCACATTTTTTGTGCTTAAAAACCCCCACTCGACTTATACTTGAGTCACTGTCTGTATTATGGCAACTTAGAGAGCCGCGGCCGTCAGAGCCATGGCAACGATCCGCGCGGCAACCAGACCGCGAGACTTACAGTGGAGCTGACCGGAACGGAGGAGAAGGGAGCTGACAGGAGCTGCAGGAAAGGTAAGTAAATGCTTCCTGTCGGCCCCCCCACTTCACAGCCCATGCCACTGGACCACCAGTGATTAAGATAGCCCCCCTCCCTGACCAGTTAACAAGCAGGGAGGGGGGGCAAATTTTTTTTTTTTTAATAATAAAAAAATAATATTAAAATAAAATTTTTTTAAAATAATAAAAATGCCCTCCCCCACCCAGTTCACACACATTACACAAACACACACACTGCATTATATACACACTCTGCATTATATACACAGTGTGTGTATATAATGCAGAGTGTGTGTTTGTATGAGTGTGTGTGTATATAATGCAGAGTGTGTGTTTGTATGAGTGTGTGTATATAATGCAGAGTGTGTGTTTGTATGAGTGTGTGTGTGTATATAATTATAAAAATCACAGAATTTCATAGCCCCAAGTTTTACCCTCGACTTATCCACGAGGCATAGCATATTTCACAATTTTTGGTCACAAAACTGCACTCGACTTATACATGAGATTGACTTATACACGAGTATATACGGTATGTATATGTGACATTAAATTGTGTTGGTGCAATAAATGAGAGCTGCAAATTGCATTTGAACACAAACAGCAAAAATGGCATGTGTCCTAAAGGGTAAGACAAGCTTTTGAATCTGTGTCATTGAGGGGTTAAAAGCCCCAGCGTTCTGTCTAATGCAAGTATGGCAATTTTCGTTTAAATTTTGCCAAAAGAACATATTCGCAACTGTCTCCATTCTAATAAACTGTGAGTCCCTGAGAGCTTGAGGGATTGCATACCCACTGGGTAACATAGAACTTGAAACGTGTTGGGGGTGTTTCATTATTAACCCATTCCATTCTGGAGCTATGAAATCCACACTGACTTGTACTGCTGGAGCCCAAGTGAGTGTATTACATGACAAATCCCATTCAGTTCTTGTAAGAGCAGTGTTTTGGCAAGCACCGTTGTCTCTTTGGGAGAATCAGCCAAGGTCTGCTATGTGTTTATGCATTGCAAGGTAAAGCTCCCTCCCATTCAAGGCAAAGGCCTTTAACCTTTCGCAGACCAAAGTATATTTAACGGATGTGTCTCTGATGTGTTCAGTTAACTGTTTCAGTGCCAGAGTTGGTATGCGTTGCTTACTGTGTAGATAAGAGTTGCACACAGGATTGTGTTATTCAATTTGGTGCCGGTTGATGGGTGGCTAGGGATGGAGATTTAAGCCAGTGCAAATCTGCATTGTTGGCTAACCCAGTGGTGATCTAAGAAGGGTGGTGCTTGCAAGCATTGGGGTTATAAAGCAAAGTCTTTATAATAGAGGTTCTTCTTGAACTTAGTTTTCATGGTAATATTGGCCGCCTAGTAGCTCTGTGTGCTTTTACATTTCTTCATATTCTATAAATCAGTGGGGGTCAAATGGCAAAGCATCGTGGCAGTTGTAGTTCTTCAACTGGGGATCTTACTTTTGACCACTCTTGCTGTAAAGTGATGGTGATGAGCCTGAAATGGTTACCCCAACTGTTTTAAAAAAGTGTTTTGGCGTATCTGGAATAGACGTTCATGTGAAGTGTGCCAACAAAAAGGCATAGTGTGTAGATAGTGTAAAGGATTTAGAAAACATGCCCAAATTATACGTTTGTTTGGGTAGGCCATCATTATATGCTCCAAATTCAAACTGTTTAGGTGATCTGTTCTTCTAATATGCAAGGAGTGTATAATAATTGGAGAGCATCCCATAGCTTGCCGCTAATGGCTGTATGTGAGTCCCTGAGAGCTGTGATACTCCGTATTGCTATATTAAATGGTTATTATAACATCCCATAGGATGCCGCTAATGGCTGTATGTGAGTCCCTGAGAGCTGTGATACTCCGTATTGCTATATTAAATGGTTATTATAACATCCCATAGGATGCCGCTAATGGCTGTATGTGAGTCCCTGAGAGCTGTGATACTCCGTATTGCTATATTAAATGGTTATTATAACATCCCATAGGATGCCGCTAATGGCTGTATGTGAGTCCCTGAGAGCTGTGATACTCCGTATTGCTATATTAAATGGTTATTATAACATCCCATAGTGTGCCGCTAATGGCTGTATGCGGCTCTCACAGTGTGATACTCCGTATTGCTATATTAAATGGTTATTATAACATCCCATAGTATGCCGCTAATGGTTGTATGCGGCTCTCACAGTGTGATACTCCGTATTGCTATATTAAATGGTTATTATAACATCCCATAGGATGCCGCTAATGGTTGTATGCGGCTCTCACAGTGTGATACTCCGTATTGCTATATTAAATGGTTATTATAACATCCCATAGTGTGCCGCTAATGGCTGTATGCGGCTCTCACAGTGTGATACTCCGTATTGCTATATTAAATGGTTATTATAACATCCCATAGTGTGCCGCTAATGGCTGTATGCGGCTCTCACAGTGTGATACTCCGTATTGCTATATTAAATGGTTATTATAACATCCCATAGTGTGCCGCTAATGGCTGTATGCGGCTCTCACAGTGTGATACTCCGTATTGCTATATTAAATGGTTATTATAACATCCCATAGGATGCCGCTAATGGTTGTATGCGGCTCTCACAGTGTGATACTCCGTATTGCTATATTAAATGGTTATTATAACATCACATAGTAGGCTGTTAAGGCTCTTACAATGTGATACTGCTATATTAATGGATTATATTTGTTTGTTGGTTTCTTTCAGGTGCTGGCCTTGGTTTGGGGATCGTGTTTTCAGTGATATTTTTCAAAAGTGAGTATTGTCTTTTGCGCCCTATCCCCTAGGGCCCTGCTGGTGCTAATTGCATTCTGGGTAGATCCAGCACGGCTAGTCTCTACCCAATATCTGGTCTCTCTGAGGCCATGTCACCCTGTTCGTGACGGCAATACTAAATAATGCTTTTATTTAAATTCACCGGCACAGTCTGGGCCCACACTCAGACAGATATCATTGGTTCATACGGCTTTGCAGAAAATAAATGTAAACAACTTCTAAATTCCTCTGCCGTCAAAACCACACTGGAGAATGTGGAACTTGCTCTCCATCCGTGCACACGTCGTGTTTACAGTTCAATCTGATCTAAGTGAAGACTGTGTATTTATTGCACACATGGAATCAAATCTATGTCTCTGGAATCATGCTCTTAGCTGTTACTATAAGAGGTTAAATGAAGATCCCTTGTGTATAGAAAACCTATATAACAGATAAATTGACACTTACCTCATGTCACAGTGCATTAAAACATCCAATGATGGGACAGTGTCATGTTAAAGGATTACTCCAGCCACCATGACCACTTATGCTTTTTGAAGTGGTCATGGTTGAAGGACTCTGGATGTGCACCAACCTATGCCACAGCATTGTACAATTGCTAAGAAAAACAAATATATGTCTATGATGACAAACTTGTTTAGGCAACTGAGAACTGACAAGGATTCAAAGGAGCTTTTAGTGTGCATGTAGCATTTTATGTTTTATGGTAACTAATTAATATGATCTTGTAGCGTAGCCTCCAGCTTGGTAAAATGTATACAGAGTGAAGCCTAAATCTATTGATGTAAATGAGAGGGTATATTTGAGAAAAGTGCACATGAGCCGTCACACAGCATGATGTTGAGACACGGTGTATCTTGGTTCTATATGGTTTTAATTTCTAACGATGATGTTAACTAAACATTAAGTTGTGATGAGTCGGGGACACATCTGCTATTCTGTGTTAATTATCTCTCAATTTGATTTGCTATAAACTGCGCGTGGTTAAATAGTGAAAGGGGGATTGATTTCTTCCATCTGACCTTTGCAAACCCATCTCTCTCTTTCCAGGGAAGACATGGCCCATTGCATTCTCCTCCGGTATAGGTTTAGGAATGGCCTATTCCAACTGCCAGAATGACTTCCAGTCTCCTTACCTTCTTCACGGCAAGTTTGTAAAGGTATGTCTTTATTCCCACCTGCCTCTCGGCAAGATTTAACACTTTCATTTCATGCTTTCTGGGGCTCTGCGACTGCACTCCATGTGCAGCATAAAGCTGTGATCTTTGGCCACTGGACGATCCTCTGTGCTAGTTGTTGGCAGAGTGAGACCGCTCAGTGGAATGAGCACCAGCTCGAATATCTCAGTGGAATGAGCACCAGCTCGAATATCTCAGTGGAATGAGCACCAGCTCGAATATCTCAGTGGAATGAGCACCAGCTCGAATGTCTCAGTGGAATGAGCACCAGCTCGAATGTCTCAGTGGAATGAGCACCAGCTCGAATGTCTCAGTGGAATGAGCACCAGCTCGAATGTCTCAGTGGAATGAGCACCAGCTCGAATGTCTCAGTGGAATGAGCACCAGCTCGAATGTCTCAGTGGAATGAGCACCAGCTCGAATGTCTCAGTGGATGGAGCACCAGCTCGAATGTCTCAGTGGAATGAGCACCAGCTCGAATGTCTCAGTGGAATGAGCACCAGCTCGAATGTCTCAGTGGAATGAGCACCAGCTCGAATGTCTCAGTGGAATGAGCACCAGCTCGAATGTCTCAGTGGAATGAGCACCAGCTCGAATGTCTCAGTGGAATGAGCACCAGCTCGAATGTCTCAGTGGATGAGCACCAGCTCGAATGTCTCAGTGGAATGAGCACCAGCTCGAATGTCTCAGTGGAATGAGCACCAGCTCGAATGTCTCAGTGGAATGAGCACCAGCTCGAATGTCTCAGTGGAATGAGCACCAGCTCGAATGTCTCAGTGGATGGAGCACCAGCTCGAATGTCTCAGTGGATGAGCACCAGCTCGAATGTCTCAGTGGATGGAGCACCAGCTCGAATGTCTCAGTGGATGGAGCACCAGCTCGAATGTCTCAGTGGATGGAGCACCAGCTCGAATGTCTCAGTGGATGGAGCACCAGCTCGAATGTCTCAGTGGATGGAGCACCAGCTCGAATGTCTCAGTGGATGGAGCACCAGCTCGAATGTCTCAGTGGATGGAGCACCAGCTCGAATGTCTCAGTGGATGGAGCACCAGCTCGAATGTCTCAGTGGATGGAGCACCAGCTCGAATGTCTCAGTGGATGGAGCACCAGCTCCAATGTCTTAGTGGATGGAGCACCAGCTCCAATGTCTTAGTGGATTGAGCACCAGCTAGAATATCTGAGTCAAACATTTGATCCCATTCCAGCTCAGCCTCTCAACCTTCTGAGATCAATAAAATAGACAAAGTTGGGTAATAGCATGTAGACTCCATGACGTGTTTGGAAACTAGTGACAATCTTAACGTACTACTTGTGGTTAAATATTTTGATGTGGTTATTAGTATTATTTATATATACAGATATATGGATGTTTCCTCTCTAAAATGCTCTGTAAACCAAATGGGATCTGTTTTTCATTAAATGCTTTGCTTTGCTTCCACAAACACACGTCACTTTCAATCTCTCCGTGGCGCTAACATGGTGTCCTCCGTGGGCAGCATTTGCTGTATTCATCTTAACACTCTGGATCTTAATAAAGAGACCTACATCAGTACGCATTGCTTGTTAAGCAGCCAAGGGCCAGGAACAGTTAAATCCATAATTGCCTCCAAATGTGTTGTCGTGGTTAATGGCTCAAGGGCTGCTAACTGCCTAATTATTTAATGGCTGCCGGGGAACAGTGTGGAAACTATTAGTGTGGTATTAGAGCTATAATTCATGGGTGAGGAGCTTGGGAATTTGGACTTTTCTTAAAGGGGACGTTTAATCCCATTGTGTCCTCCCCTCTTTAGTTATCTCTTCTGCAATCATGTGTACAACCCCAAACTGAGGAATTTTGGTCTTGGGCTGCTTTGAGCTTGGCTTTACCTTGTTGGTCTGCATATTGAACTTCCTGGTGTGTGACCCAGGGAGTACAATCTGCAGTCCTAGTCGCTGGCCGTGAACGTGTGATACATTTAACCACGTGGACTGTGATTTGCATCAGGAAAGTAAGCCACTGGAATAATGCTGAAAATACAAGTCATGTTTAATTCCTCTTTGTTTAAAGAAAAAATATAAATGTTCTGAATGAGCTACAGGTGCTGCTATCCTTCTGGAAGGTGTGTTTTGAACAGGAATTATAATTTTTTTTTTTTTTTGCTCTGGCTAAATATATCACTGATTACCAGTTCCCAAGACTATAAGGGTCTTCTGGCATGATCACAGTGGATTTTACATCTAATTAGTTCACCTATATTAAAGTAGGGTTACACTGAAATGACATTCATCATAGCTAATCTTAGGGCCAATGGTATGATGGAACACAGAATGATTCACATTACTTTGAAGCCAGCTAGAAGTGAGTACTTGCTGGAGGGGCCATGCGGTGCGTACCTTCATAGAATGGGTCTAAATCACAATATGAGACATAGAATTCCTTCAGATATTCTTTTAAAAATTGTAGGAGGGGATCATAGTTTTAAAAGAGCGGCAGATCTTGGCCACTCCTGATATATAACCGATCTTTGCCATATGGACACTTGGGGCGATTGCAGTGCAGCATTTCCAGTAATATGTTCAGTCTTTAAACAGTCAGAATGATAAGGCTATTGTGGCTCTGTTGGTTTGCAGCGTTTTGGTAACTAACCCCCTGACTGCATGTCCTCTTTACAGGAACAATGAGTGTGTTGGATCTGGCAGAGAGCAGCTGCAGAGCCTCCCATCTGGAATCCGGCACGGCACAGGACAGCCTGGAAGACTCTCGCTCCAGTCCTTGGCAGTAACTGCTTTCCCTGGCCCAGTGACCACACGCTTGCAGTTTCTCTTTGTTTTGTAATTTCTGTCACAACAATTATGAGAATAAAAAAGAAAAACCCCAAAATGGGCTGTGCTCGATGTTCTTTTCATGATTATTAAATTATTTTTTCTGTGTTTCTTGAGCACAAGAGATTAAGAAATGGAAATCAGAATAAAACTGATTAAAGCTAGAAAGGCCGCTGGAGTGGGATCAGGGCAGTTGTGGTATGTTTTAAGCCAGTTGGCAAATAAAAGACAGAGGACTTACACGTGTTAACCCTTTAAAGTGGATCTGTCACTTTTCAGTGTTTTATAAAGATAAATTCCTTTTGAAATATTGAACAAGAATGCTTTTGAATTTCATAGAAATTGCAGCGCAATCAAAATATACCATTAAACAACGTAGGGACAAACCTGAGGTTAACAGAAGGCGGAGCTTCTCTGTCAACTTTTGTCCAATCCAAGCAACTGTCACCAGTGATGAATGTAAGATCCAGGCATTGTCTACAGAGAATGCAAAATTACTTTACACAAAGTGCAAGTGACAAGGTGTAAATGTGGCGCTAGTCAGTAAAATTAGCGCGACTTCCCCACAGTGTCTAAAACCACTCACAAGACACAAAACTCCAAATGCAAACCGTAAAAATACAAATAGGGGGTGCAAATCATTAATAAATGAGTGCAATAGAAATGTCAAAACAATACTTATTTACTCTTGATCCTCAGTGAGTATAAAGTCAACCTAAGACTAAGAGTATGAAACAGTCCATAGCACAATACTGTAAACACATAAGAATTCTTTTAGGTGACCATTATCAACTCACATATTGCAGGCTCTGACTATATAGGCTTTTCAGAATAACTTGTTCTGGTTGTCTCCTCTCCTCCACCTTTAATGCAGCCACTGGCACCAGGGATTCAGCAAGGATTCAGTTGGAGATAGTTTAAAAGACTTTAACAACCAAAGCAAAGCAAAAGAGTCGGCATAGACACAAATTTGATAACTGAGCAATGAAGGTCCATAAAATATTTAGCACAATTAAGGTGCATATTCTCCTGTCCAACATCCAAACTTTTATACCGGTTGGGAGATCACATTTTTGTGCCATTTCCCGGCGTCTCCTCCTCCTCCTCTGTTGGTTGGGTGCGTCCGGAGCATGATGACAAGTTTCCGCATGCACTGTCATGGCGCTCTTGTGTCTGACTTCATCGGCAACTGCAGATATAAGATGTTGACACTACAAGTGTATGTGGCATAATCCACCATCTTTAAAAATCCCGGTCTGGGTCTTCTTAGTCGGTACAGTTCCTAACAACTATAGCAATCTGCCTCACCATCACAATACTTCCAACAGTTTAGCAGTCTTACATTTAAACAGGCATAAACATTATACAGTATACATAAAAACTGAAATTGGAAAGTAGAGATTTTATTATAAAGTGCAAATTGCAATGGAGATAATATCATTAGACAAGGGTATACATAAATATTATATACATTTAACCTTGAATATATTCAATTTAAAAACAAATTAGATCATATAAAAAAAGTTTAAAAAATTATGTAAGGGCTCCCATATTTAACCTATTTGGGGACAGAGTGTCCAAATTAAAAATCCATTCCATTTCACATTTAGTAAGAGTGTAGCCAATATTACCCCCCTCCAGTGTTTGGTAATAATTTGGATCCCATAAAATTTCAATGCCATTGTGATGTTCCAAAAAGTGCAAAGAAACATTGTGCGTTTTAAAACCCTTTTCCTGGCTAATCATGGCAGCATTTAACATATGGGTTTAGCTCCTCCCTCCAACCCTCAGGACAGGAAACACAATCAATTAAACAATTAAGCCTACCTTCCCCTAGTATATTAGGTACCCCAGTATCCCCCATACCTCAATCGTTCACCCATCAAAGGTTTCTCAGGTTTTGTGTCCGGAAGGAACACTTTCAATTCCAGGCCCTTCCTTTTGGTATAAGTACGGCCCCGAGGACCTTCTCGAAGGTTCTGGTCACCATCATTGCTTTGCTCAGAAAAGAAGGGGTAGCGGTGTTTCACTACCTGGACGACATCCTGGTAGTGGCTCCGGACCTAGCATCAATATTCCAACACAGGCAATTAGTCCTAGACACAGCGATTGTATCCCTCTCACACGACAGAAAGATCAGACTTCGAGATCGGATAAGGGACTTCAGACTAAAGACTTCAGCCTCGGCAAGAGAGTTTATGAGGCTTCTGGGGACTCTTTCCTCTACGATAGAACTTGTCAGATGGGCTCAGTGGAACCTTCGCCCTCTTCAACAATTTTTCCTAAAAAATTTCAGGACCGACTTGAGGGAGTGGGAGACGCTGATTCGCATTCCTTTGATTCTGAAGCAGAAGCTCCTTTGGTGGAAGTCATGGGAAAATCTCTCCAGGGGGTTCCCCTTGCGGGAAATAGATTGGGTGGTCATTACGACAGATGCCAGTCTGACAGGTTGGGGGGCACATTTAGGCAATCAATTTTTTCAAGCAAATTGGCCTCTAAGAACTCAATGCTTGCCTTCCAACATCAGGGAGCTAAGAGCAACCTTTCTGGCGCTTCTTCATTTTCAGCATCTCATCAGGCATTGCTGGGTCAAGTTGAGAGTGGACAACAAAGCGGCGGCTGCCTACATAAACCATCAAGGCGGAACAAGGAGTGTAGCCCTGATGAGAGAGATAGTTCCCATTATGACCTGGGCTCAGAATCATGTGGAAGGCCTGTGTGCCATCTATCTCCCAGGGAAGGAGAATGTAATAGCGGATTTCCTCAGCAGACATCGGATAGAGGCTTCAGAATGGCAACTTTCCAGGAGAATCTTCGCTCGGTTGGTCCAGAAGTGGGGTCTTCCCCAAGTAGACCTCATGGCGACCTTTCGGAATGCTCAGGTTCCATGCTTTGTGTCGAGGAGATACCATCCAAAGGCGGTTGCTCAAGATGCTCTATCCATCAATTGGGTATTCGATCTGGCTTACGTTTTTCCTCCAATTCCCCTCATCCACGCTGTTCTGAGAAAGATCTCCAAGGAACATTGCAAGGTGATAGCTGTACTTCCATTCTGGCCTCGTCGCCCTTGGTTTCCCCTGTTACAGAGGTTATCAGTGGACCTGCCTTGGGAACTTCCAGTCTCAGAAGACCTGCTGATTCAGGGTCCAGTGTTTCATCCGGAGCCTCACAAATTCAGGCTCCATGCATGGCTATTGAGAGGAAGTCTCTAGTTGAACATGGCCTTTCGGACCAGGTTATCTCTACCCTGTTACGTTCCAGGAATCCTTCTACTTCTTCTACGTACCATAAGGTATGGGAAACCTTTGCTCGATGGTGTAATTCCACGGTTCAAGAATTAGGTTCCCCTTCCGTGTCTCAGGTTTTGGGTTTCCTGCAAGCAGGCCTGGAGAGGGGCCTTCAACTTAACACGCTTAAAGTGCACTGCTCTGCTCTTTCAGCTCTTTCCGGTATTCGTTGGGCATTGAATCCTATTGTAATTCGCTTCTTCAAAGCAGTGATTAGGATCAGACCTCCTATCAAGGTTTTCTCTGCTCCTTGGAATTTGCCTCTGGTTCTGCAGGCCTTGACGGAACATCCCTTCGAACCTATTGATGAGGTCTCTATGCAGGTTCTTTCTCTCAAGACCCTGTTGTTACTGGCCTTGGTATCTGCTAGGAGTATGTCAGATATTAGAGCACTGTCGTCTGAAGAACCATTCACTACCTTCTTCGATGATAGGGTTGTGCTACGGCCTAGACCTGAGTTCCTTCCTAAGGTGGTTACATCCTTTCATTTGAATCAAGAGATTGTCCTGCCAGGGTATTTTCAGGAGCCATCGTCTCCTGAGGAAGAAAGATGTCATACGCTAGACCTAAGGAGGTGTCTTTCCACATATATTTCACGCTCAGCTGATTGGAGGAAGTCTACCCAATTGTTTGTGATACCTTGGGGTTCTCGTAAAGGTGAAGCTGCCTCTGTTGCAACCCTTCGTTCTTGGACGGTTCAGGCTATTTCTAAAGCTTACAGAGCTAAACAGGTTCCTGTTCCCAAGGACATCAAGGCACATTCCACAAGGTCCATTGCTACTTCATGGGCTGCAGAGTCAGGAGTTCCTGCAGAGAGCATCTGTAAAGCTGCCAATTGGTCATCTTTAAAAACCTTTGTACACCACTACAGAGTGGATATCTCATCTCGTTCTGATTCAGAGTTTGGCCTATCGGTCCTGAACTCTTATAAGCCTTAAGTGGATATTAAACAGTTTTTGTAGCATGACTTACCCTCCCTGAGTGGTTATTGCTTTGGTAATCCCATATGTTAAATGCTGCCATGATTAGCCAGGAATAGAGAAAATTTATTGATACTTACCGTAATTTTCTTTTCCTGGCTATTATTCATGGCAGCATTTGGTCTCCCACCCTCTCTTGGTTTATTTGTCTTGTTACTAGACTGAGGTGTGGGGGATACTGGGGTACCTAATATACTAGGGGAAGGTAGGCTTAATTGTTTAATTGATTGTGTTTCCTGTCCTGAGGGTTGGAGGGAGGAGCTAAACCCATATGTTAAATGCTGCCATGAATAATAGCCAGGAAAAGAAAATTACGGTAAGTATCAATAAATTTTCTCTATTAATGTTGTATATGTGCTCGTGTATCCTAGTCGCCAAACATCTAGAAGTTTTTCCCCACATACATGGTCTATAGAGACTCTCTGTAAATCCTTTATTTACTTACCTGGTCCCAGCACCTATGTCCCTCCGTCCTGTGACGAGTGGGCTCTAATGCGCAATGCTTTTCTATGCTGAATTAATGCTTTCCTGTGGGGAAAAAAAAAAAAATCTGACTCTGGAGGTTCTCATGCAGAGCGTGAGGACATCAAGTGTAAGCTACCGGACCAAAGGTCCATTTCAAACCAGGAAGCCATCTAGTGGGTGTCTGGTAGACCGCCACTAGAGGCTAGCTTAGGGCTGCAATGTAAGCAGTGCCGTTTCTCTGCAATGTTTAACATTGCAGCACTAAGGGCAATAGGGTCACTGTACCCAGACCACTTCAATGAGCTGAAGTGGTCTTGGTGCCTACAGTATCCCTTTTAAGTATGTTCCCTGTCTCCCCACGCAGTGTATTATAACTGCAGCTATAAGGTTATGGTGTAAGGAGGTCCCCGGTCTCCCCGCACACACTGTATTATAACTGCAGCTATAAGGTTATGGTGTAAGGAGGTCCCCGGTCTCCCCGCACACACTGTATTATAACTACAGCTATAAGGTTATGGTGTAAGGAGGCCCCCTGTCTCCCCGCACACAGTGTATTATAACTGCAGCTATAAGGTTATGGTGTAAGGAGGTCCCCTGTCTCCCCGCACACAGTGTATTATAACTGCAGCTATAAGGTTATGGTGTAAGGAGGTCTCCTGTCTCCCTGCACACAGTGTATTATAACTGCAGCTCTAAGGTTATGGTGTAAGGAGGTCCCCTGTCTCCCCACACACAGTGTATTATAACTGCAGCTATAAGATTAGATTATGGTGTAAGGAGGTCCCCTGTCTCCCCACACACAGTGTATTATAACTGCAGCTATAAGATTATGGTGTAAGGAGGTCCCCTGTCTCCCCACACACAGTGTATTATAACTGCAGCTATAAGATTATGGTGTAAAGAGGTCCCCTGTCTCCCTGCACACAGTGTATTATAACTGCAGCTATAAGGTTATGGTGTAAGGAGGTCCCCTGTCTCCCCGAACACAGTGTATTATAACTGCAGCTATAAAGTTATGGTGAAAGGAGGTCCCCTGTCTCCCCGAACACAGTGTATTATAACTGCAGCTATAAGGTTATGGTGTAAGGAGGTTCTCTGCCAAAGAGTTGCTTATCACTGCAGTTGTTTGCAAATGCCCTTCAGATATAAGCCCACCACTCTTTAAAGAAAGGAATCGGTATATCTTCCTCTGTCTGTCCAAGTACTTTTACAGTGAGCAAAACCTATTCACATACCTACCTCCCCTTACACACCTGAGCAGCAGGTGTGTGCATCTGTGTTGGCGCTATGTCTAACCATTCTTTTCCCGATACTTTGCATGGATCTAGAAGCAAGCACAGAACGCAGCGCCATTTATACTATCTA